TTCTCTTTCTGCTTTAAGTATAAATATTATTCATGGCTATGGAAGGTAAGGTTACATTCCCCATTTTCTGCTGACTTTACTATATAATCTCTGTCATTTTCAATCCTCCTTATACTTATATATTTATCATAGGTCAAGCATATATTTGTAACACATTGGAACTTTGACATAACATGACCTGTTTTGCACAGAATTTAGTATATCACCATATACTTTGTCCAGTACTCTGTATTATCCATCATGTGAATTTGTGTGAACTCCAAGCATAGACAACACTTAGAGTAAAGCCTCCATAGATGCTAGATCATGTGAGTTTGGACTAGGTGCACATTTCTCAGAGAAAACTTGATTTCTCACTGCTGTACAGTCATGAGAGACCGTGCAGTGTTGGTTTGTTCCTTAAGACACTTTTCAACATGGAACCTTGTAGTGTAATTGTAATTTTGTATTTTGAAATTAGATTAAGTAAAAATAAAAACCATGTTGATGTACTTAATGAGAATAAAGAAACTGCAAGAGATTAAAGTGAAGAGAGGTTATAAGGATATTATTCACTAGTCAGCCGTATTAAATTCCACACCTCTCCTTGTTGTCATGGAGTAAGATTACTTGATTTGTTCTGTCTTTGACAAAAATTATTTTTGTCTTTTTTTTTTTTTTTTGATGGTACTGAGGATTGAACTCAGGGCCTCGCACTTGGCTAGGCAAATACTCTACCACTTGAACCACACCCTCAGCTCCCAAATTACTGTTCTTGCTATTATATTGCTATGTTTGTTAAGCAGGAAAAACATGCATATGATCTTCGGAAGAAAGATAAATGTTATTTAATTAAAGCATCTTTTAACTTCTTAAAAGTGAACTATTAATCTTTGTAGTGGTTAATTAATAATTTGTAACTTTTTCAAAAGGTGGCCACTGTTGCAACTCCCCAGCCTTCAGCCCCTACATCCTCAGCCACTTTTGCTGGACCAGCTACCCCTGCTGGATCAAAGGGAAGGGTATTTGTAAGCCCTCTTGCAAAGAAATTGGCAGCAGAGAAAGGAATTGACCTTACACAAGTAAAAGGTAAGTCTCTTCCTGTGGAATGGTGTTGTAAAGTGAAGTTAGGTAAATTTCCTTACGATTATCACATGTACCTATGCATAGTTACATTAACTAGGATAGTAGGGAGGAGGGTGAGGAGGAAATACCCGTTATTCCTCACAGTACAGAAACTGTTCTTGTATTTTATTGAGTCTACGTAGATCTACCTGTAGAATTTAGATGCCTTTTTTTTCATTTTCCTCTATTCATGGGAGCTACATAATTATTGGTGACAATATATGTGCTAGTTGAGCAAAGTTGAGTTGTAAGCTTTGGTTGTGTAATAAGAAACCTTTTAGTGCTAAGTTGACTGAATGTAGTAATAAGCAAAGCAAAACATGAAGTTGGGGTGATTTGAAATGGCTTAAAATAATAAAATTCAAGCCAGGTGTAGTGGTGTATGTCTGTAATCCTAGTACTTGGGAGACTAAGGCAGGAAGTTTTCAAATTTAAGGCCTGCCTGGTCTACATAGTTAGCGAATTTCAGACCAGCCTGGACTATCACAAGATCTTGTTTCAAAAACCTAATAAATAAATTAATTAAAAAATAAATCAGTATAAAACTGGCTAAAACTCCCCAAAGGCAAGGAAAATATCCTTATTCATCTTTTTCTCCCCAGAGGAAAAAATGTAGCTTAGTGGTAAGACCATGGGATGGCATGTTGGCTTGATTGTATTCTTTATGTAATATATCTTTAAGTGAATTACTTCTTAGCTTATGTATATCTTTAGATGAATTACCTAAATTTTTCCATCTCGGAAATTAATAGTGTACACATATAGAATTCTGAGAATTAAATGAGCTCTAAAGGTGAAGTTCTTAAACAGTGTCTAGCATGTAGTAAGTGCTCAATATATTGCCATTCCTGTTGCTTGGGACTTACTGCCTGGCTTTTAAATATTCTTGAAATAAACTTAAGCTAAAATTCAATGTAGGGTAATTAAAATACTTATTTGGAGAAGGAGGAAAATTACTATTTTGGGGACCTGGTTTGATGACTATTCTATGTGCTAGTCATTTAATTTGCATAACATTTGTTCAAGTGAGAATTATCATTATTGTTAGGATAAGAAGAGTGTCTTAAGGGATCTTCCTTCCTGTGAAATAAAAAAACTGCAGTTGAAGTCAAGATTTGTTTAAGCCAAAGCTGGTGGCTTACCCCTATAATCCTAGCTACTTGGGAGGCTGAGAATGGGAGGATCACCTTTTGAGGCCAGCCCAGGCATACAGTTTAGGAGACCCCCATCTCCAAATAACCAGAGAAAAATGGACTGGAGGAGGTGTGGCTCAAGCAGTAGAACACCTGCTTTGCAAGCATGAAGCCCTGAGCTCAAACCCCAGTTCTCCCTCCCCCCCACCAGCCAAAAAATATTTAATTCTAAAGCCTATTTTCTTCCCACTACCCTGTACTGCCTTCTGTCTTGATGTTCTACCATCCATAATTACTAAAGAAAAACATAGTTACTTCCTCATTTGTCCAGGTATGAGCACTCAGTGCTACAAGCTACTGCTTTTGTGGTTAGAAGTCAAGCTGATCCCAAAACACAAGAATAGGTTATAAATTCTTTTGGGCCCTCAAAAGATTCTTTTTTTTTTTTTTTTTTATTCGGTATGGTGGGTGGGTATTGAACTCAGGGCCTCACACTTGCTAGGCAGGCACTCTACCTCTTGACCCATGCCGCCAGCCCTTTTTGCTTTGGTTATTTTTGAAATAGGGTCTTGCTATTTATGCCAGCAAGTCTGGACTGCATTCTTCCTATTTATGCCTCCTGGTGTAGTTGGGTGCTCAGCTATTGATTGAAATGGGGTCTTGGAATTTTTTCCTGTGCTGGCGTTGAGTTTCGATCCTCCTGATCTCTACCTCCCAAGTAGTTTGTATTATAGGCTTAATCTGGGCAGGATTGTTATAATATTGGAAGGTCCTCCCTTTTTTTCCCCCACCTTCTGTTATTTTACTAGCTTACTGCCATTCTTTATGTATGTCTATTTAGAATCAGGGACTGTAGTATAAGTTGGAATAAATTTTAGAGAGAGAGGGGTTAGGTTAATTATATCTGAAGAATTTAGACAAGTAAAGAAGGACCATTTAATGAATAGTTAGCAACACTGACTATCTTACTAGACTATCTTACTAGACTAGGCAGGGATGATTCATTATTATTATTGAAGCAAATATTTTTAAGTATTGTCTGTCCATGAAGTACTTGTTCATAAGACGGATAAGATTTCAGTTTCAGGTTGCTTAATGTGGTCGACAATAAAGAGTTAATTGAACGAAATGGGAGTATAGCATACTACTTGTAGATGGGATTATGGGAGGGTGTTTTGGCAAGAAATAGAGTGCTTAAGAGTATTAGGGGAATAGTGTTGGCCTTTATAGGAATGAAGGCTATTGTCTATTTTAGAGATACTTGCTAGACAGGTGCTCTACCACTTGAGCCACTTTGCCAGCTATTTTATCTGTTTTAACGGAGAGATCAGAATATAGGATGGGTTTATTGGTTTGGTAGTAGAAGATGAGAATTCTTCTCTGTTTGCTATTTCATCAGTAAGGTGTGAAGCGAGGTATGATCTGGAGAATGAGTCTGGGAAGGATTGAGGTTAGAGAGATTGTAAAGTAGTCTTCTTAGAGATTGGAAGGTGAATTTAAAGAAAACAACTGAATTTCTGGGCGGTTTTGTTTGTCCATTTCAGTTTTTGTGATTCTGAACCTACAGTACAGTTAGACAGCCACTTCTGAACTTTTTTCCTGGCAACATTAAGCTACTCTGTGCTTAATGAGCAGACAAGCAGTGTTACAGTTCTTCATTGGAATCATGACAACGGTCCATAGAATGTAAGCTGGGTAAGGAAGAAAGTGAAGATGACGGAGGTCACAGATAATGAAAGAGGAGTCAGTGGAGTGGAGTCTTGATGAGGTTGAAGAGATTTTGCAGTGGGGGCTGGCAGTGGACTGGCCTAAGCTAATTGAGCTTAGTATTAGTGATTGCATGGTGTTTTCTGATACCAAATGTTTGGAGTTTTTTTCCCACATTTCTGTAAATTCTTTTGACACTGAGTAGCCAGCAATTTAATCTAATTCTAACATTAAGTACCCAGATTTAACATCAGACTCTGTAGGTATCCCATAAGATGGCCCTTACTTCAGATTTCGTTTCTAAGGGCTGCGGCCCACCTGCATGTCTAACGCATTAGCTATAAATCAGAAGTTTCCAAGACCTCCTCAGATTTGATCATTTGCTAGAATAACTGATAGAACTTGGGACAGCACTTTACTTACTATTGTATTATAAAGTATACAACTCAGAAATAGCCAAATGGAAGAGATGCATAGGACAAGGTATAGTGAAGAGGGGTGCACAGAGCTTCTATGACCTCTTGGTACTCTATATTCCCATTGTATTGATGTGTTCACCAACCCAGAAGCTCTCTGACTTTCACTGTGCAAGACTTTATTTTGATAGAGATATTATCACAGACATGATTAGTTTAATCAGTGGCCATTAAACTTAATCTTTAGTCCTCCTTCCTTTTGTGGAAGTGGTGCAGAAGAGGAGGAAGGGTATGGGAGAGAGAGATATAAGAAAAGGGACTGAAAATTATCACCCTCTAATCAGGTGTTTGGTCTTTGAGCTGACCATCCACCATCCTGGATCCCCACACTGAGGTACCTCATTAGCATAAACTCGTGGCGTGTGTAATGTGTGAAGGGCTTGATATGAATAACACTTATCACTTGGGACATTCCAAATATTTTAGCAAGTGTATGCCAGGAACCTGGAACAAAGGCCAAGTATATTTTTTGTCATACCATACCACTGTGATAGTAGTCAGAGAGATAATTGCTTCAATTCTAGATTTCAGGGATGTTTAAATACTACTGATAACATGGTCTAGTATTTGACTTTAAAAGTTGGGGGGTTGCTCAAAGTTGTGTATGGGATGGAAAAGTTGGACCTGAGTAGGTGAAAGAACATAGAAGTCTGAGAATTAGGTAGATTGTGGTCCCAAAGAACATAGTGGGAATGCACAATTACTCTGAATAAATGGGAGAGATTATGAATTGGTAGATGAGAGATAGTGAGGAGAAGTAGGTTGTGTAGACAGATGGCATGAGCATCAAAGGGTTTTGAAGGTTTTGAGAGGAGGAGGGAGATTTGGAATTGGCTAAGAGTAAAGAGGACACTTATCCCACATCCCAACTCTGAGCAACTTGAAGTGAGAGGGAAAAAAAAAAACTCTATAAGGGAAGAACTAAGGGAAAAGTTGAAGAAGGGGACAGGTGGCTTCGAAAATCACTCAGGGGGAAGCTATGTTAAGACCTGAACCCCGATGTTCAGAGTTTGGTTAATCTCAGAGCTACCCATATATTTTATAACTCTTTGGTGCAAAGCACTTTTCACATTACTATCCCATTTGTCTTCACAAAATTCCTATGAGCAGGGGTTGGTATTACAATCTCCATCCTACAAGTGGAATGAAGACCAGGTGAGCCTAAGTGTCTACAGTCATCTGCCTCGTTTATGTTTGACATTTTCCTGCTAGTCCAGTGTTCTTCCCTTTATACCATACTATTTTATAATTGCCTGTTGTGCCTTCTTAGATAGGCAAAGGGTTTGAAAGGTTTCAACTAACTCAGGAAATTCTCTGAGTGGTTGAAGCCTAGATTCAGCGGGACTGTGGGTGGTGGTGTCTAGCACGGCTTTTGTTGTAAGGAGAAATGATGGCTTCTGTCTTTCAAAAAGGAGAGGGACCTAATGGAGGTACTGCCATCCCTGTTCTAGAGTTTGTGGTGAGGATAAACACAGTCCTAACTAACTGTGTTTTCATAATGAAGAAAAGGACTTGGGAAGAACTGCACACTAGAGTCCTTTTAAAAGTCTGCCATGGGGAAGACGAATCAATTTGACCATTTTTTTTCTAGAAGTGGGCAAGTGTTAAAGGTATTATAATCAAATTCTGAATCTGCTTTGAATTAAAGGTCAGGATTATCTACTTGGTTCTAAAATTAAACCCAAGAAGTTATAGATGGTAGGAGAGGGTATGGGGAATTTTAATAAAATTAAACCTGTTGGGAGAACTTTGAAGTTCTTTGTCATATATGGCATTGTACTGTTTTCTCCATTTTCTCTAACTCAGGCAAGTTTGGTTTTTGCTAGTGTGAGGAAGCTGTGAATGATGAAGACCGTATTGGCAATGAATGATGCTAAAATGGGATAATTGCAATTAATAGTTAGTTATTCATGCTATTGTGGGGTTAAGAAAAAGTTGACTTGTCTTATTTTTCTGGAAAATTGTTATCATGTCTGTCAACCCTGTACAAGGATATTCTTTATGGTCAAATAAGATTCTGTTTCAGAGTTCAGAAAGAGTTAGGGTTTTTTGTTATTGTTTTGTTTTGGTTTTTTGTTTGTTTGTTTTTTAGCTAACCAGGAGGGGACAGCTAGTTTTTGTTAGATGTATAAGCTATATTCTGCATTAGCCTTATGCCGGTATTTCCCAATTTAAAAGTAAGAAAATGAAAAGTACAATCTAATTAGACGGAACTCTAAAAGATAAATAAAAGAATATTTATAATAGTTAAAAAGAAAAGAACCACTGTTGATCAAGTGAAGGTTCTTTGAATTAAAATGATCATCTAATCCAAGCTGGTATTCTGAAGGAGAACCTTAAGGGCACAGTTAAGATTGTGATCCCTTCCAAGTGTTTTGTATCTTTTTGAATCTTTAGCAACTCATACATTAGGGTTACAGTGTGGACCACCTTGGGGTTCCAGTGTTATGCTGTCATGTATGTAACATCTGTGTGTTCCCTCAGGAACGGGACCAGATGGCAGAATCATCAAGAAGGATATTGACTCTTTTGTGCCTACTAAAGCTGCTCCTGTGAGTTCTATTTGTCTCTTACCATTTTTTTTTTTTTTGCAGTTTTTCTCTGCAAAGTACACTATCCTGCCTGTTAGAAATGGAATTAGGTTTTCTTCTAATTTCAGTGGCTTAATGATATTTTTGTGCTATTATTTATATACAAAATCAGAAATGATATACTACAGACATGTACTCCAAATTGGGTTTTGAGTAGTGATATTCAGTTTTCCCTAAAATATCCTCTTCTTTTCATTTAGTCCCTGTTTTTAAAAGGATTTTTGTATGTTGGTTGTCTAGGGTTTATGTGGTACTTATTCCGTACAGGTACTAAATCCATATATCCAATTTCTATTTGATTGGCTAAGGTGATAAGATAACCAGCCAGAAGTACAGAAAATTATTATTCATATGTTTGCTTTAAAATGGTAGATTTGTTTTTGTTTTTCCTTCTTCACATTGTCAGGATAATGGATTAGTTTGTTTATATTTATCTTTTAATCTTTTCAATTTAAGAATGCTTTGGTTGCTTCTCTTTTTCTTTGTTTCTTTTTGTTGTTGTTTTTGAGACAGTTTCACTATGCAGTGCTGGCTAACTTTAAACATGCCATCCTCCTGTCTCAACCTCCTAAATGCTGAGATGATAGGCATGTGTGCCTGGCTCCTTGATTTCTTTTCTTCAAAATAACTTTGCAAAAACAAACTTATTTTGTCATAAACTAGTAATTAAATGTACTCTGGCACAAAAAAGGATGACACTTGAAACATGATTTCAGAATTCTAAGTCAAGAAAAAAAACAACAACAAAACTCAGATAAGCCTTCTAATCAAGCCAAGTCCTTTTTGTTCTCTGAGAATAGAACTAGCCATCCTGCAGAACTTTCATTTTCACTTTGGCATGTGTACAGTCACTGGCAAGTGTGTATACTAAGATTGAGCCACACTTACTTAGAGTGTTTTCTCCTCTCTATTCCATAGGCCCCAGCCGCTGCTGTGCCTCCCCCAAGTCCAGGAGTAGCACCAGTTCCTACAGGTGTCTTCACAGATATCCCAATCAGCAACATTCGCCGAGTAAGGACATTACCATAATCTGGAACCAGAGCTATTGAGGGTATTTTTACTCTGGTTCTTTAATTATATCCATAGTTTAAAATACTGACAAAGGTCTTTTCAGTTGGAAATATTAGATTATTAGGTTAAGGGAAGTTTGGATGGCCAATTGAATACTTGAGGTGAAGAAATCAGTTTGTTCTAGTTGAATCTATTAGAAGGTGCAAAGTTATGGTACAGTCCTTCATCTTTCACTCCTGATAATGTTTGAGGTAAGCATTATCTGGGAACCAAGTGAAAAAGCAAACAGGACTGGATTGGGTCTCCTTTCAGCTCAAGATAATTGATTTTGAATCTCTTGTTTTAGGTTATTGCACAGAGGTTAATGCAGTCGAAGCAAACCATACCTCATTATTACCTTTCTATTGATGTAAATATGGGAGAAGTCTTGTTGGTACGGAAAGAACTTAATAAGGTAAAACTTGTAGGAATTCTAACTTTGTAAATTATAAAAATTCTGTCTAAACATTTACATTTTCAACCATGTACTTTGTTACAGTATGCCAGTTGGTGTGCAAAATGGATGTAATTTTAACTTCCAGGGAGCATCCTGGAAAATTTTTGTCTGTAACCCTTGATTAAAACAACATTTAAAGATGACTTAGTCATGGATAGATTTAGTCTAGAGAAGTCACTGTGATGCTACACTTGTCTCTCTTGTTGATAAGAAACATATTTGCTTGTGTTTTATAGTCAAACGCAACATATCTACTTAGTGCATAAGACATAGTCTTCACTAATGGGGGAGATAATGCATGTGAAAAAACAGGGAAGGAAATTTTTTATAGAAGTAGAAATATCTATTTGTGGATCTGTCTATGGTAATGCCCCTTAATTGTCTGCTAATTGCATCATATAGGTTAAGAGTTGCTGGAGTTTAGAGAAGGAGGTGGGGGGAGGGGACCAGTGAGAGTAGTTGGGGAATCCACAAACTCAGTTGAACTGTGGAAAATAGAAAGTGTTTGGATTGGCAGAGAAGTTGAAGAAAGTTCATTTTAATGATGGAGAGTATTAAGGGGAAAAAACTTCAAATACAGAAATGCTATGCATTTGCCATAGTATGTGTGGGAGATAGGTTACCCATTCTAGCGCAGATACACAGTAAATCAGTTTAAGGAAGACCCTGTTTTATAAGAAGATTTTGAACTTGATGAATTCTATACTAAGATGCCATTATGTTTTTGAGCGATGAAGTACATGATAGCAATATTTTAAGAAAGGTTAAGCTGATGAGATGTGTACACGTATGCATGAATAGCAGAAACTAGTTCTGCTTGTATTGCAATCCAAGCATGAAGTGATGGTAATAAGGAACTCTGTTAGGAATGGAGTGGGAAGCTGGGCATGGTAGTACAGCCTATAATCCTAGCATTTGGGAGGCTGAGGCTGGAGGATTCCAAGTTCAAGACCAGACTGGGCTACACAGTGAGACCCTGTCTTCCAAAAACAAAAAGAAAAAAGGAGTAGGAAAGTGGCTTATGAAAGCAGTTTTCAAGGAAGTGAAAACTAAAAGCCAAACTCCTTGGAGTGGGTACATGGCCTTTTAAAGGGTATCTGTAACCTCTCTGTCTCCTCTCCTACTGTTTTCTCACTTGCTGACTTCAATGCAGAGACAGTGGTTGTCTTACTGTTCCTCCTACCCCAGGCCCTTTGCACTTTTCTTTCTGTGTGGAGCGTCTGGTCTCCACATGGTTTCCTCCTCTATCTCCTTAAGGATCTGACTCATTTCACCTTCTCTTGCCTTTTTTAGTCTAAAATTGCAACTTCTTCTCTCTCCACCCCATCCTTAATTCGCCTTCCTTGCTTTATTTTTCTTCTTAACATTATCCAGCATGTTATGTATTTCACTTATTTCTCTCCTTTAGAGCATAAAGGGAATACATGAGAGCAGAATTTTTTTGGCAGTACTGGGGCTTGAACTCCAGGCTTAATGATTGCAAAGCAGATGCTCTACTCTTTAAGCCACACTTTCAAGCCAAGAGCAGAAGTTTTACTCACTTTGTTCACTGCTTCATACCCAGGCCTTTAGCATTATGTGCTCGGACTGGAGTAGACTGTCATATCGGAGATTCATAACTGAATGCATGATGAAGCAGCAACAAAGCTTTGTAAATGGCTGCAGAGATTAAAGGTGATGCTGTATTTCTGTTGTGAAAATATTAAAGCTATTTTCTCTATTAGCTTTAAGTTGGAAATTAGACAAATATATTTCCAATGTGTTATATTTCTTTTGAGTAGCTTTATTGAGATACAATTCATACTTTATAATATACTATTCACACATTTAGAGTGTACAGTTCAGCCACGGTTGGTAGTACATGACTAGCCTGACCTACATAGTGAGAAAAAAAACTTTTTTTAAATAATAAATTATATATTTCAGTGATTTTTAGTATATTCACAGAGTTGTCTAACCATCACCACAATAAATTTTACATTTTTATCATCAAAAAGGAATTATTACTATTATTATTATTATTTTGATACTATTGGGGTTTAACTCATGTTCTTTTGTTTGCTAGGCAAGTGCTTTACCACTTGAGCTACTCCCCCTTTTTGCTTTTGGTTATTTTTAAGATAGGGTCTCCCATTTTTGCCTGGGTCCAGCCTTGGACCATGATCTTCCTACCTACAACCTCCCACATTGCTGGAATCATAGACATGTGCCACCATGCAAGACTTACTGAGTAAGATGGGGGGGTCTTACTGACTTTTTGACTGGGCTTTGTAAATTCTAATTTACAAAGTTAGGCTTCCTAGAAGTTTTACCTTATTAAACTACAATCCTTTTTATCTCTGCCTCCTGAGTAGCTAGGTTTAGAGGTGTGAGCCACCATGTTCTGCTCTCTTTCACTTTCTCGATGGTAGCCTTTGAAGACAAAATTTTTAATATTATATCCAGTTTATCTATTTTTCTTTTTTACTTTTGTGCTTTTGGCATTATAGCTAAGAGACCACTGCCTAATATAAGTTTATGAAGATTTACACCTATGGTTTAATGTAACAGTTTTAGCTATTAACATTCTTCGGCCTATTTTGAATTAATTTTGTATATGTTTTGAGGTAGGAATGAACTTTATTCTTTTGCACACAGACATTAAGTTGTCCCAGCACTATTTGTTAAAAAGACCATTCTTCATTGATTTGTCTTGACATCCTTGTCAAAATTAGTTGATCATGCATATGAGAGTTTATTTCTAGATGGTCAGCTCTGTCCACTGAACTACATGTTTACCCTTTCGTCAGTATCAGAATCTTGATTGTTATAGCTTGGTAGTGAACTTTAAAATCACCAAATGTAAGTGCTCTTTGCTGTTTCTTAAGATTGTTTTGTTTAGCTAACTTACAGTTCCAAATGAATTAGCTCATAAATTTCTACCACAACACCATTCAAGATTTTGATAAGGATTGCATTAAATCTGTAAATCGTTTTTGGGATTGTTACCATTTCAAACAATATTAAGTCTTCCTATCCATGATTATGGATAGATTGGTATTAGTTTACACTTCTTTTCTTAAATTTATTCCCAGGGATATTATTATATTTGATACTATTATAAATGGAATTGTTTTCTAGATTTCATTTTCAGATTGTTCATTGGTACTGTGCAAACATACAGTTGATTTTATTTATGTAACCATGCTGTGAATTCATTTATCAGTTCTGACAGTTTTTAGTGGGTTTGTTAGGATTTTCTATGTACAAGAATATGTCAGCTGGGCCCCAGTGGCTCACACTTGTAATCCTAGCTATTTGGGAAGCTGAGATCAGGAAGATCATGGTTCAAGGCCAGCCCATGGAAATAGTTCAAGAGATCCCATCTCCCAAAATAACCAGAGCAAAATGGACTGTAGGTGTGACTCAAATGGTAGAGCGCCTGTTTGCAAGATCAAACTCCAGTCCCACTTACAAAAAAAGAAAACATGCCATCTGAAGATACAGTTTTACTTCCATTTTTTGCCTAGTTGCTCTGGCAGCTTAAGTACAATGTGGAATAGAAGTAGCAAAGACATATATCCTTGTCCTGTTCTTGATCTTAGGGTAATAAATTTTAGACCATTATGTGTGATCAATAGATGGTTTTTGTTCAGTATTCTGTTAGGACATTATTATATTTTTACTTAATTTTATTTCCTTTAGAAGACAGGATCTCACTGGGTTCAGCAATCTTCCTGCCTCAGCCTCCCAAGTAGCTGGGACTTTATAATCACATGCCACTGTGTCCAGCTTAATTGATTTGTTAAATGAATGTTGCATTCCTGAGATAAATCTCATTTCTTTATGGTAAATGATCCTTTTTTATATTGCTTGATTTTGTTTGATGGTATTTTCTTCCTTACCTCTCCTCCCCTCCTCTCCCCTCCCCTCCTCTCCCCTTTCTTTTCCTTTTCTTTTCTCTCTTCTCCTTTCCTTTCCTCTCCTTTCCCCTTTCCTTCTCTTCCCCTTCCTTTTCCCTTCCCCTTTGCTTTCTCCTCTCCCTTTCCTTTTTCCTTTCCCTTTCTTTCTCTCTCTCCTTCTCTCCCCCCCTTTTTGTGTTACTTGATTTGAACTCAGGTCATCACACTTTTTAGACAGGTACTGTACCATTTGAGCCATTCAACTAGTCTTTTTTTGCTTCTAGTCCTTTTTCAGATAGGGTCTTGTGTTTTTGCCTGGGACTGGCTTAAACCATGATCCTCTGGTGTATGCCTCCCTCTGTAGCTGGGATGCCTGGCTTCTTGGTTGAGATGAGGGTCTCACTAACTTTTTGCTTGGGCTGGCAAGTAGCTGGGATTCATAGATGTGCTCCACCACACCTGCCTAATAGTATTTTGTCACTAGTTTTGTATCTGTATTCCTACTAGTATATAGGTTTTTTTGTTTGTGTGTCTAATTGTAATGTTTTGTCTTTGGTTTTAGAATCATAGAATGAGATGGGAATTGTTCCTTGATCTTCCATTTTTTGGAAGAATTTCTGAAGAATTGATAGTAATTTTTCTTTGGATGTTTGATAGGCTTCGCCAGTGAAGCCATTTGGGTCTAGTCTTTTCTATTTGAGTAGTTTTACATTACTAGTAATCTCTTTTAAAAGTTTATTCAGAGTTTTCTATTTTGCCTTAGCTCACTTTGGGTTTGTATCTTTTTAGGAATTTGTCCATTTAATTTGTTGGCATGTGGTTGTTTATGCTATTCTCATAATTTTTGTGTAAGGTAGAAAGTAATGTCCCTTATTTCACTCCTCATTTTAGGAATTTGAGTCTTCTTTTTCTTGGTCAGTCAAATATAGATATTTGTCATAGTAGTTGTCTTTTGGTTGATTTTTTTTCCAAGGAACCAACTTGGTTTTGTTGAGATGAGTGAAAATACATACCATAACTTAGGGAATGTAGCTGAAGCAGTCAGTGCTCAGGAGGAAGTTCAAAGTTGTGATAGCCTATATACTAAGCATGATAAAAGAACCAACTTTAGATTCATTTTATTATTTTTACCTCATGTCCTTGGTATTTTTTTGTTCCTCTATTCTCTCTCAAGATTACATATGCACTTCCAGTCTTTGGGGAGAGACTTTAAGAAAACTCTGATGGTTTCTTGTCTTTACAGATGTTAGAAGAGAAAACCAAAATTTCTGTCAATGACTTCATTATAAAAGCTTCAGCTTTGGCATGTTTAAAAGTTCCTGAAGCAAATTCTTCCTGGATGGACACAGTTATAAGGCAGTAAGTATAACTGGAGAAAGTATACATCCATCAGCAGCTCTGTTATGTCACTAACTAGGAGTTGGAGGGGGGGATGACATTCGTAGATGAAGCAATTTGAAAACAACACAAAACCACTTATGAGATAGTGCCAAATTTAACTAGCAAAGGCTACATATTCTTTGTATGAGTTCAATAAAGAATACAAAAATATGTCTTAATGAAGCTGATAATAACGCTCACAAAATAATGTTAAATGGATAATTTTTGTTCACCAGTGAGTTCTACCACACTTCATGAGCAGTGTTGAAGATAGTATTTGTTAGCAAATTTGGTAACAGTGTTGTGGCAGCACACGACTAGCACAGCACGGATTGCGTTTCACATGTTTTCATTTAGTCCTTATGGCTGCTTTGTGTGGTAAGTACTTTCACTAGCATTTTTTTTTTTTTTTTTTTTTTTTTGATGAAGGAATGGAGACTTAGCGAGTTAAATATCTCAGTTAATATCTTAGTGTCAGAACTGTGGTTGGAACCAGGATTCTGACTCCTAAGCCTGGGCCTTTTCTAGTACGTAGATGCTTTATTGTTGTTATTACCATTGTTGTTATTTTTATTATTATTATTTTTTTTTTCTACTCTGCTCTCACGTACTCACAGAACCACTTCTGAGACCAGATGTGTGAGTGTGTTGGGGGAGGTCCCCACACATCAACCAAGCAATCAGTTTTATAAAGATATCATCCAAATCAATTCAGTTCTGACTGTCTACCTAGAGATAGTGTGAGATTATGGGCTCAGTTCCACATACTGCCCCCACTCAAATCTGGTCACCCTTATTTCTGACTAAGTAGCCACAGAGGTTCCCATGATCCCCCTCTTTGTTGGGTAGGACAGCTTATATAATTGAAGGAACTAATATGTGTACTGCCTTCCTATAAAGAATATTACAAATGATACAGATGAGCACCCAGATAATGGATGAACAGAGTGAGGCATGGGCTGGATGCAGAACTTCCATATCCTTTCTCCTACACTGCCCTTCCCGCACCTCCATTGATGGACATTTCTAAAATATTAACATTGAATATGTATATTAAAAATATGTCATTTGTGCTGGACGCCAACGACTCACCCCTGTAGTCCTAGCTCCTCAGGAGGCAGTAGAGATCAGGAGGATTGCAGTTCAAAGCCAGCCTAGGTAAATAGATCATGAGACTCTATTTTGAAAACCCAACACAAAAAAGGGCTTGCTCATGTCATAGAGCTCTTGTCTGGCAAGCGTGAGGCCCTGAGTTCAAAACCCCAGTACAGCAAAAAATAAAAAAATGTCAAAGTAGTTAATATTTCATATTAAATATTTTAATTTTTATGGCCTTCTGTTTTGTGTCCATGTAAAGTAATTGTGTATACCATAACCTGATTTTACTCCTTATGTGTACTCCTTATAAAATCTTTCTGAAACTCCCCAAGAGAACTCTTTTTGGTTTTTGGTGGTACTGGAGTTTGAGCTCAGGCCTCAGGACCTCATCTTGCTAGGTAGGTGCTCGACTACTTGAGCCACTCTGCCAGCTCCCCAAGAGAACTCTTAAAGCATTTTTTAACTGGTCAGCATACTGAATGATCTATTGGTTGTAACTTTTTTCCTTGGTCACTCCCCTCTTACAGAACACCTGAGAATCTTAGATTCCTTATGAACTGTATTAGTTTCATTTGACTTCTGTTTTTAGCATTGTACCACAAAATAAGTGGCTTAAAACAAATTAGGACTAGGAATATACCTCAGTGCTCAGTGGTAGAGCACTTGCTTAGTATGTGTGAGGCCCTGGATTTGATCCCCAGAACCAGCAAAAGAAACAAAACAAAAGTAATCATCAGAAATATATTCTTTCATGGTTCCAGAAGCTAGAAGTCCATATTCAGGGTTTTGGTAGGGCTGTACTTCCTCCAAAGACTCTAGAGGAGGATCTTCTTTTTTTTTTTTTAGGCTCAGTGGTTTTCTTTTTCTTTTTTTTTTTATTGTTTTATTATTCATATGTGCATACAAGGCTTGGGTCATTTATCCCCCTGCCCTAGAGGAGGATCTTCCTTGCCTTTACCAGTTCCAGAGGCTGCAGGTATTTCTTGTTTATGATTGCATAACTCCATACTCTACCTCCAGCTTTATATGACCTCCTTCTCCTTGTCTTTTTCTCTTTAATATGGACCTTGGCACTGGATTTAGAGTCATCAAGATAACCCAGGATGATCCCATCTCAGGATCATACCCGCAAGGCTGTTTTACAAATAAGGCCACATTGATGTGTTCTGGGGATTAGGGCAAAGATGTCTTTTTGGAGTGTGACACCCAACCCACTAAGTAGACTTTAATCAGCCAGTTTTCCTGTTTTTAGCACTGTCCAAATCACATACTGCTTTCTGGTGCCTGAGCAGAAGTGGCTTGTGTCTTTCAGCATTCATAGTCTTCCATATTTCATATAGTTTCTACTATCACTACTGTGAAACCATCTTCCCGTGCCAATCTGAATTAGCCACTATTACTGAGTATGCCATCTTCTGCTGCTGGGATACTGTTGAAGCTTCCCTTTCTTTGTGTTTAGATGCATTCCCATGCTATGAGCATGGTGATGGTTAGCACAGAAACTCACATTTAGTGTGTGCTGAAGCAACATAGTTAATTCTGATGAGAATCTTGTGTGAAGTAGGTACCATTATCATCTCCATTTCACATGAAGAAACTGAGACAGAGAAGTTAAGTAACCTGCCTAAGGTTATATATCTAGTAAATGGTGAGCCAACATTTGAATCCCAGCCACATAGTTCAGCTTTGTGTCATAATAACAAAATAACTGAGATAGACAACTTAATGAAGAAAGGTTTATTTTGGCTCATGGTTTCGTAGGTTGCAGTCCATGGTCACTTGGCGTTATTGCTATGGGCTAGTGGCAGCACAGTACATCATGGCAGGAGCACATGGCGGAGGAAGCCTGTTTACCTCATGATGGTCAGGAAGCAAAGAGGAAGACAGGAAGGGGTGGGGGCTCAGGATCCCCACCCCATGATCTGACTTCCTCCAACCAGACCCCACATCTTAAAAATTCCTGTACTTCCCAATAGTGCTGTGGGCTAAGGACCACTTCTTGAACACATGGGCAGTTGAGGGACATTTTATATCCTACCTATAGCACCAACTCTCTGAACCAACACTAAAGCCTGGTCTTGAAATACAACCCTGTACTGTTATATCTTGTCTGTTAAAATCATACCTATCTTTAAAGTGCAGCTCAAGTTCTACCTCTTTTAATGCCTAATGTAACAGTTAAGGTCTCCTTCTGAATACTTCTCTGAATATTATATATATTACTCACATGGTATTTTCATTAGTGCAACAAATATTTATTCAATACTAATTATGCTTTTTCTTGGGGGGGTTGAGGGAGAGAAGATCCCACTAGGTAGCCCAGTCTGGCTTTGTACTTTTGACCCTCCTGCCTCAGCCTTCAAGTGCTGGGATTACAGGCATGCAACACCATGCCCAGCTTTGGTTGACCATACTTTGTTTATGCATTCACCAGTTGATGGACATTTGGTTGTTCTTACTTTTTTGCTATTATGAATAATGCTGTGAATATCTGTATACCATTTTTTGTGTAAACATGTTTTCATTTCTCCTGGGTAGATTCTTAGAATCTCTGAGTCATTTAGGTAAACTTTCACCCTATTTCTCAAACTTTGTTCAATCTTCACACCAACACTTGTGTTGTATGGTTTTAAATAGTTAATCAGAAGGATATGAAATGAGAGCCATCCACTTTTAATACCACGTGAAGAAAATACTGCTTAGTTGATAGGATCAAGGTTGCATGGCAAGTTTTTTTTTTTTTTTGGTACTACTGGGATTTGAACTCAGGGCCTCATGTTTGCTAGGCAGGCACTCTACCACTTGAGTCACTATGCCAGCATGAATGTCAAGTTTTTTTTTTTCCTCTGGTACTAAGGCTTGATCTTAGGACTTCATGCCTGCTAGGCAGGAGCTCTACTGCTTGAGCCATACCTCCAGCCCTTTTTGCTTTGGTTATTTTGGAGATAGGGTCTCACTTTTTGCCCAAGCCTGCCTGAACCAATTCTCCTATTTCATGCTTCCTGCTATGGCTGGGATGACAGGTGCATGTCACCACACACAGCTATTGGTTGAGATGGGATCTCACGAACTCTTTTTGCATGGGCTAGCATGGAACCTTGATCCTCCCAATCTTACTCACAAGTAGCCAGGATTACAGATGTGAGGCACTGGCACATGGCTTCATGGTGTGTTCTACAAATTATTTATTAATTTTTACCAAATGCCCTTTGATTACTTGTTCATAAAGTCATTCAACAAGTACTTATTGAACATGTACCGCTTACTTGATTCAGTGGTAAGCAGATAGAGAGTACCATCCCTACTCTTTCTGGAGGAAAGTTATATTATAACAGGATAATTTTTTAAACCACATTTTTCCTTTTAGTTCATATTTACTTGCACATATTTCTGGGGTTCAACATGACATCACATGTGTACAAAGTGTAATGAGCAGCTCAGGGTAATTGGTGTATCTTACCTCATACATTTATCACTTCTTTGTTCAGAATAATTCAGAATTCTAGCTATTTTGAAATACTCAATTATTATAATAACAGGATAATTTAATCAAGAAAGCAGTATTTGCTGTTATCTTGGCTTGAGTCTGACTGTGGTAACTAATAAGGATAGCACACACTAAATTTTTATTAGAGCAGGACTCTGTGTTTGTAAGTACCAAAGGCCTGCCTCCAGCCAGCTTGAGCAAATTAGGTGTCTGCAGTTTTCTAGAGCTTACACCTGAGAGGTACTGGAGTTCTTTCTTTGGATCAGGGCTGTGCCTTTGAAGTTTTCCTTTCTCTTTATTTTTTGTGGCACAGGGGTTTGAACTAAGGGTTTCACACTTGCTAGGCAGGCACTTCTACCACTTGTGCTGTTTTCCATTCTCCTGAGTGCACAACACTTTAGCAGGTCCGTATAGAAGCTGTTTTGTGACTGCAGATGCAATTCAAAAGTTTGTGAACCTGGGGTGGGGGGAAAGTCACTTCTTTTTTCTTTAATCTCTACTGAAATTTAGCATTTCTTCTTACTATGAATGCAGAGAACAAATCAAACAAATGTGAGCAATACTTGTGGCTGGTGCCCAGTAAGATTCTGTTCATATCACATTGTAGTAGCATACATCAAAAGTGTTCTATTCATCGCTACAAAATGATAGCCATTATTTTTTGTTCTGTTTAAGTTTTTTGGGTAATTTTAGAATTTTATTCTTAATGCTAAAACATTTTGAGATGAGGACTAGGGTTGTGACTTTGTGGTAGAGCACTTACATAGCATTCTCATACACTGGGTTCAATCCTCACCAGCACAGAGGGAAAAAATAAAGGCTAGGTGGTGCACACATTTTATCCTAGCACTCCAGAGGCTAAGGCAGGAGTATCCTGGGTTCAAGTCCAATGTGGGCTACCTGGTAAGACCCTGTCTCAAAAATATAAAATTCTGAGATGCACTGGGGCCCCTGGATTTGCTCTGGAAAAGACTTCCTCTCAACTTGTACATCCTGAGTACTGGTGTTTCTCTCCACTCTGCAGTTCTCTCCCTCTCTCTTCTTTTCATCTGCTCAAGTTCTGCCTGCTGAGATGAGTCTCCAGCCAGTGCACTCACTTCCTCTCAAAACCAAGAGACTTCTTACCGTTCAGTTCTCACTGAAGGTTGAGCGGTTTTGGCCAACTGAATTATCATTAGTCAAGGCAGGGGAAGTTGGGGGGGTGTAAAACCAACCTACCAACACTTTTCAGATCCTCTCCCTCTCCCCCCCTCACTTTTTAAAAGTGCAAGTCAAGAAAAAGAACACAGCAAAATGTAAAAAGCCCAACAGGCATCTCAACAGTAGCACAAACTGCTTCTAAAGTAAATGTCCGTATTGCTTAACCTGGCACACAGGCTTTTTTTTTTTTTCTCCATTGCCCAGCCCTTGCATATGCTAAGCAAGTGTTCTACTCCTAGCCCTTAATAAACCCTACTGTTGAATATTTGGGTTTCTTTTTCTTAACAGAAATCACGTTGTTGATGTCAGTGTTGCTGTTAGTACTCCTGCAGGACTAATCACGCCTATTGTGTTCAATGCGCATATAAAAGGACTGGAGACCATTGCTACTGATGTTGTTTCTTTAGCAACCAAAGCGAGAGAGGGCAAACTACAGCCACACGAGTTCCAGGTAAGATTTAATTTACTGACATTTAAGGATTTTATTTTGTTTGCTTTTGGAACATTATCCCATTGTGTAGCTCAGGCTGACCTCAACCTCACAATCCTCCTTCCTCAGCCTCCCAAGTGCTGGGATTGTAGGTGAGATTATGTCATTTTAAGGTCAACTGATGTTTTTTATTGCATTTTCCCTTTTGATTCTACCATGTATTAGTACTGACACAGGTTGTGAAAGTAAAGAAAAATTGAGTCACATGTCAGAGGCTGAAGAAAGGATATTTTTCAACTAGTATGCAAAAACCCGCCCAACTTAGTTTTGTTCATACTGTAATGGTTGCATATTTTCAGTGAGTGGTATTGTGTTCAGCCTTTCTTAAAATTACCACAAAATAAAGGATTATCTTTTTTTTTTTGTGGTTGTGATACTGGGGTTTGAACTTAGGGCCTTGCATTTGCTAGGCAGGTGCTCTACCACTTGAGCCGTACCTTCAGCAATCAGAAGGCCTTTTCACAGAACATTTGTATTTCTTTCTGGTTTATGTTGACAAGCAATATCTATTTTTTAATCTCTTTTCTTTAGGGTGGTACTTTTACAATCTCCAATTTAGGAATGTTTGGAATTAAGAATTTCTCTGCCATTATTAACCCACCTCAAGCATGTATTTTGGCAGTTGGTGCTTCTGAGGATAAATTGGTTCCAGCAGATAATGAAAAAGGGTAAGTGCCAAAATGGGGAGTGACTTAGAAGCCCATTTTCATGGCATTATGCCTGTTTTTGAGGTTTGGTTTTATCCAGTTATTGACATGGCAATTGGAGTTTTGGGTAGAGTCAGATGTAAAAGATGAGGCAGGAGGATCATGAGATAGGAGCCTATTCAAGATTTATTCTAGATGAGAGGTCAGCACACTTTTTCTTAAAAGGGTCAGATAGTAAATATTTTAGCTTTCTTGGCTATATGGTCTTTGTTGCAAATACTTTGATGGCAAGGTATGAAAAGAAGACATAAGCAATATGTAAATGAATTTTGAAAAAATGTAAACCTCTCTCTATAAAACCAGACTCAGGGCAGAACTGGGCCCATGGGATATAGCTTACCACCCATGTTCCCAAGTGTCTGCTTAGTCTGTTTCTTCAAGTTATTGATTTAGGCTGAAGATGTAGGGGAGATGAAGATTAGGTGGACCGTATTACCTAGGTCGTATTATTGGGCAGTAATCAGCAAATGGGTGGCTCCGGAATCCAGTGAATGCTTTCAGAACATCTAATAATGTTTTTACTTTTTCTAGATTTGATGTGGCTAGCATGATGTCTGTTACACTCAGTTGTGATCATCGAGTTGTGGATGGAGCAGTTGGAGCCCAGTGGCTTGCTGAGTTTAGAAAGTACCTTGAAAAACCTATAACCATGCTGTTATAATTAACTCAAGAATTTCCAGACCCTTCCAGGTCACATTGGCTCACTCTTATTAAAATATTTATGTTATTAAACAGGTGGTTCTTTAAAAGTTTAACCAGTTTTTTTTTTTTTAATTATTATTGGGTCTGTCCAGATAAATTATTTGTAATGGGCATTGCTGAATTTTTTTTAAGTCATTTATATCCAAATACTGTGTACATTTAATAATGAAATACCAGATTTTAAGCTGTGTACAAGGAACATGTGGTCTAGTTCTTTGGTAATACATACTTCCACAAGGAGATACGGAATAGGCATATAGAGACAAGTACATAGAAATTACCTGTCTGATACCTTTCAGATTAGAGAAAGAGAAGTCAGGAAAATTATTCTTTTGGGGGAGGGGCTTGAATTGAAGGTTTTTTGGAATTTAACCCTGGTTTAAGTATATGATCTTGGTTTATCATATCTGGGAATGGTAGAAGACATCAAAGAAAATAAGTAAATTTTTAAAATCAACATTGTCTTAGACCTCTCCAATTGTTCTTTATTTCTCTATGAATCTTTAAATAAATTACTGTTTCCCCTCTTAAGATAAAGATATAAGTCAGCTTCTTGGTATAAATGAGGGTTTATATGGCTATTTATTTAAACATCTTAAGTGTGTAATTCTGAGAGAATTCTTCAGTTACCTCCAAATAAAAGAATATGCTTAAGAGAAGTTGTGGAAGTAGGATTTCTCTCTAAGATTAACTGAACTTTAATTGCAAGTGAACTTACAAGAATTTATTAGTCAAATAACAGGAGAGCTCTATGAAATAACTAATGGGATCTATATGGAATAAGTGTACATATGTAAAATATGGTTCTAAGAGTTGGATATGTGCCAAAGTCCATTTATCACCAACTCTTGCCTGAAAAGAGGAAAGGGTATATGGTGAATGGTTTGGAATTCTAAAAAATGATGCCCAAATGAAGTGTCTGTGCTTATAGTCTTGGCTAGTAAGGAAGCTGAGGCAGGAGGATCACTGGACTACAAAAATTGAAGGCCAGCTTGGGCAGTGTAGCAAGACCCATCTCAAAACAAAAAGTAGACATCCAAAACAAAACAGAATTTCTGCTTGGATAAAGTAAAGAGAAGTTAAAAATATATTCAAAAGTATTGTCTTCATCCAAGCATTGTCTCATGTAAAATAAGGCAGCCCTTATTCTTCTATTGAAGACAAAACTTAATTAGGTGTTTATCTTATGGACCTAGATACTTTGTACCATTTTATTATGCTTTGCCTTTCTTTTGGAGGGACGAAGGAGGTGATACTCAAGATAATAAAAACGAATTGGGAACATTTTCACAATTCTAGACTTTCTGTTGAATTGATGTATTTTAGTGAAAGTTTGGGATTATTTATAACTATTTCAAATAAACCTGACCAGTGCTTCCTTGTATATACAATGTGTGGAACTGTCCTCTGATATGTTAATGTTTCAGTGTTGAATCTATTTCTGAATGTTCTTTATCTTATGGTACATAAGTGACACTCCATGTATTCCATAAAGTTTGCTGTATTATTATGAAAACAATTCAATATACTAATCTGACTTTTCAGTAAATAGTGAGCTGAGGTTAAACTGAAGATGTGCACAAATAACAAGCTTATCACATGGGACCATCATTAGAGTATGACCCAGATCTGATCCAAACGTGAAACTTCATATACAATTAATTCTTTGCCAGTGCTTGTGGCTCTCATTCCCTTGAAAGAAAAATAAAAAGTTACCATCTAATAAAAATTGTTCTGAGTTAAGAATTAATATCAGCTATAATCTAAATCTGGATTCAGTATATTTCTCTTACCAGAACTGAAAGAAGAAAGAAAATGTTTTTGGGTTAAATAAGATTGTTTAAAAATTAAATGTTCTTTTCAATGTGTCTGAATTAGTTTTTGATCTGTTCATAATTTTTCCACATTAGATGATTACTACCCAGTGTCACCTATGTGCTTATAAGCTCTCAGTACAGATAAAAGTTTAATTTATATAACTGGCAAAATAAGTGAGGCTAGGCGAGTATAATATGCCACTTTAAGTTCAAGCATCCCATGTTAGAGCATGACACTTATTACCAAAAGGAAAGTGTGATCTAGTGCTTTTAGATAATTAACTCCCAATTCTGAGGTTTGTGAGTATAAAGTTATGGTATCCCATGACATGGCCTATAAAGAGTAGAAGACCAAAATGTGAGAGATTATATTGCAAGTAATAGTCATCACCTAAGTAATGCATGAGTCCTGGATAAACTAGTCCACATTTCACTTTTAGTGTCCTCTCTGGGCAATGTTTTGCTTTTTGTAGGGAGGAAGAGGTAGATATTTTTTTTAATGTAAAAGCCATTAAATTATATATGAGTGATATTTTAGATAATAACTGGAGAATTTAATATTGATATGCACTTTATGAATGAGGACACAAACATACATTGTGACATAATAACATCTAGATTTTGAAGGCAGAAGTAGAGACTCCGTTTTATGTGGTTAGGTAGGGGAGTTTTCCAGGAAATACATTTTGGCTATGTTATGGGTGAAGGCATTCCAAGTGTTTTTGAGGGATGAGAATAGGTTTGTTAATTATAGGACATTATATGGTTCCAGCACATTTTTAGAAGATAAGTTATATTTTTGCCAGGCTTAAGAAAATTATATTTGCTTTTAAATGCCACATACAAATTATTATTATTCTACAATAACAGTTTATAAACATTAGCTTGTAAAGTTTAAATTTTTTTCAGGAGTATTGGGAGTTTGCCTTGTACATGCTAGGTAGGTATTCTAGCACTTTGAGCTATTCCACCAGCCCAAGTTCCTAAAGATTAAAAGTTTTGAAATTAGTAAAGACTTTATGTATAAATCTTATTTGAAGTAGACACTAGTAATTAAAAGGAACCTGTGGGTTTTTTTAATCTAGGAAAATCAGGATGTTTGAAGTTTGATGTGCATATTGCTAAATTGGAATACAAATTAGATATTGGAACCTTTGTATTTTATAGCTTCAAAGAGAGGTATGGAAGCTGAAAAGTGTAGGAGAAGCTCACTTGTCCCAAAGTCAGATCTTTCTCAAGTTAGAGATGTGGCTATATTTTGTTTATGATGTGCAGTCACATCCAATTGCTGTTAGTGTCATTGTGCCCAATCCACATTCAAGTCCCCATCTGGTAAAAAGGTCTGGCTGTGTAGTGTAGATGGTGGGCAGAGCTGTATTATTGGAATACAGAAGTTCATAGAAGCATAGATTTATTTGGCCCAGTTTCTTTGTTGCTTCAGGAAGTTTTCACTGCTATAGGCCATCCTAGTGATAAGAAATTTTTTGCAGAGTCTGGAATTTTCTCCTGATGCAAAAATTTATTAGAGATCCATTTTTTTAAGCATAAACTAAGAGTTCCCATATATTACTTAAAAACAATTAAAAATTTCCCAAATGTTATTTTCTGTCATTTAAGATTGCTACAATAGTCTTTAAAACAAGCACCTCATGGCTATCTTGTTTTAAGTTTCTGGATGATGTCAGGGTTGAGAAGAAGAAAAAATTAAACATATATCAAATGAAGGGTAAAATTCCATCCCAGCAAAGGGAGCTCTTCAACAATGTGGAGTTAATGTTTAAGATAAACCACTACCTCTTTACTGATAATGCTGGTCCAGTAATTCACATAACATATCACACTTTAAACCCAAAACATGATGCTGTTGTTTTACACCAGTGGCATTGTGATGATTAATGTAGATTTGTCTCTGATAAATTTTGCTGTTGTCATTTCAGTGTCAACAGATTTTGGAAGATTCAGGTGTAATCTGTACTTCTCAGAGACTTCCATCAGTAAATCATCCTAAGAATAACAAGTTGAGAAACTTAAAACTTGAAAACAGAAGAATATGTCTTAAGAGTTTGAGCTAATGGATTTCTGTTCTATATTCACTCCCATAAGAGGATCCTACTTACTGTCATGTGACTTGCAACAGGCAATAAAATTACTATTGTAAATTCCTACCTTAAGATTATTTCTGCCCAATACATAGTGTTTGACATAGTACCAGAAGTAGAATGTTGCCATTCCACATTAACGTGGTACTGTTTTCAGGTTAACCAGCAAACAGCAAGGAAACTTACTGGGGCCTGAAAGATGGTGATCCATGATAGTAATAAAGCTCTCAGTGAAACTACCATGAGGATTTGTGGCCTTAGGTGAATAAGTGAGCAATACAGAATGTTAGTGTGTGTGCTTCTATTGGGTACATCTCATAATGTATAAGAAGGGTGAGTATAGAAAATAACTCTTCAGTTTGTCAGTAGAATTAAGGAAAAATTCTAAGACTTGAAGGCTGGAAAATGGAACTAATCTTATTTTCAACAGTAAAGAATAAAGTTGGGAAATTATTTTTACCAACAAGTGCTGACTGAGATAGTCAAAAGTTAAATCACAGGTTGTTTGACACTTACTCTGGATAGAGTAAGGTGGGGTTCAGTCATTACATTTGGCTAAAAAAAAAAAATCCATCTGTTAAATCTAAAGTGATAGGCAAGTGTTGAAATATGGGCATGTCTAAAAAAGAATTGGGGGTGTATCTGTGATGGAATAAAAAGAAACACATAGCCTGGACTAAAAGGAACTGGTTTCAAATTTTAAAATATCCCTTGGGACCCCAACATTCCATGAGCAGGAAACAAGCTGGGAAACCTGCTGAGCAACTGAGAATGGCATTTCTACAATAATCCTTCCAAACATGCCAGGGTGGATATTAGAAGAGGAGAAAACCCCAAACAATGGAGCTGACAGTCATGAAAAACTGGACTGGGGAGTTTGGTAATCAAGGAACCATCTCAAGCAAGAATATTCTTCGCTTGCTGGGTGCTAGCGGCTCAAGCTTGTAATTCTAGCTACTCAGAAGGTTGAGATCAGGACTGCAGTTAAAGACCAGCCCAGGCAAATAGTCCTCAAGACCGATCTAAGAAATAAACAGCAAACTGAAGGTGCGGCTCAAGTGGTGGAGCACCTACTTTGCAGGCATGGAGCCCTGAGTTCCCCAATCGCGCCAAAAAAAAAAAAGAAAAAGAAAAAAAGATATCCTTCAGCTCCATGAGGGGCCTTCACAAGGTTTGCCTACCAGGATTTCAAAATTGTGAACCAATGTGCCTCATTTTTCCCATTTCTGAAGTGAGACTAAATTATATATATAGCTTCTCCCCATCCCATACTGTATGATGGATAGGGTTGGGGAAGTAGGTAACTTGTCCTGGCATGTCATCAGTCATTAAAATGACAAAATCTTGTACTTTGGAGTCTGATGTGAGATTAGAATTGTTTCCTTGAGGAAAGAATCAAAATATCTGTGACCAAAAGAACAGACTGTGGTAAACTGTGAGATTATTCCGTTACTTGCTCTTCTGTAAGACAAGAGGATATATATGTCATTGCCATTTGACTTCCTGTGATTATCTGTGAGAATATACTTCCCAATCTTGTCGATGTAAGATTTGGCCTTGTATGTACTTTGGCCAGTGGAATATAATTAGAAGTGACACTTGCTGTATCTGAGTGGCAGTTTTAGATCCATAGCATGGGTTGGCCATGTTTATTTTCACTCTGCCATGAAAATGATGTATCTCAGATGGAAACTGCTCTTTGCCTGGGTCTTGGAATGTATAAGATTCATGAAGTAGAACAGATATAGTTGATGTATAACCTCAGCAAATTATAAGCCCCTGAAATTTTAGAATTTGTTACTACTACAGCATAATAGAGTGAACACTGACAGATACACATTTACTGTACAGTGGGCCCTCTGTTATCTGAAGGCTCCTTATCTGTGGATTCAGCCTACCTTGGGTTGGAAATGTAGTTAGGCTGACAATGTTTGCATCTATACTGAAAAGACTTTTTCTTTCTTCTTCTCATTATTCTCTAAACAATAGTCTAACCGGTTGGTATAGTTTGGATCTTAAGAACTTGTCTCCAAAATGTCATGTGATAAAGACTTGATCCCCATAGAGGCACTATTGAGAGGTGGTGGAACCTTTAGGAGGTGCAGCTTAGTGGAGGTCTTTAGGTCACTGGGGACAGGGGGAAATGCCCCTGAAGTGGACTGTGGGACCCTGGTCACTTCCTTTCTCTCACCCTGGCCATGGGGATGAGTGATTTTGCTTTGCTACACTGTAGCCATGACTTGCTGCCTCACCACTGACCTAAAGCAATGCAGCCAACTTATGGCTGAAATCTCTGAAACCTTTTCTGTAAGTTGACTATCTTGGGTGTTTGTTCTAGTAATAGAAAGCTAGCACAACTATGTACATGGCAATTATGCAGCATTAAGTATTATAGGTCATCTAGAGAAAGTGTGGGGGGGTCTGCATGGGTTCCATGCCACTTTATAGAAAGTCCTGAGCATCCATGGATTTTGGTATCTGCAGGGGGTTCCTGAAAAGTCTCCCACAGATGCCAAAGGACTGCTGCATTATTATTCAACTTACTTCAGAAACACGAAGGTCACAGAAAGAGACTGAATTAACACCAGGTAATTCAACTTGCAGTTCAATTTTCAGAGGTTTCTCACTCTGATCTTTCACAATTTTTAATTCATAGGCTGGTGTCTTCATCTCCACCTGGAGGTCAGTACTAGAAATCTCTTCTATAAGACATCTTGCTTTGTCTGAAACTTGCTCTTTTGGCAGTAGCAGTTGAGGAAAGTGATCTGGCTCACTCACAGTACTGCTCATCTGTTCAAGAATATTCTCTTAATGAAAAAAGGAGGGGAGAAAATCACAAATTACTATCAGGCTATGAGCTCTAAGTTATGTAAGGCTGGGATTAAATTACTTTGAAAGTATTAATCCAAAAGAATCTTAAACAATTAGAGCTAAAAAATTTGGAAAATCTGCAGGATTTAATTTTTTTCTTTTTACGGTACTAGGGTTTGAATTTAGGGCCTAAACCTTGGCCACTTTTTTTTTTTTTTTTTTGTGAAAGGATTTTTTTGAGATAGGGTCTCATAAACTATTTGCCTGGGCTGACTTTGAACCACAATCCTCCTGATCCCTGCCTCCTGAATAAGTAGGATTACCGGAGTGAGCCACCTGGCTAAAGATTTAAAAATGTTTATAGAGCCAGGCACTGGTGGCTTACCCCTGTAATCCTAGCTACTCAGAAGGCAGAGATCAGAAGGACTGTGGTTCAAAGCCAGCCCAGGCAAATAGTTCGTGAAACTCTATCCCAAAAAACCCAACACAAAACAGGGCTGGTGGAGTGGCCTGAGAGCCTGCTTAGCAAGTGTGAGGGCCTGAGTTCAAACACCAGTACGGCAAAAAAAAAAAAAAAAAAAATTTTTATGTATTGTCTAACATTTCTAATATCTAATGTTTATATTTTCTATGTTAAGCTTCTCATCTTTTAGAGATTTCTAGTTTTCAAAATGTATACAGGTTGCAAAAAAATCTATCAGTTTAATTTTCAATTTACACTCATCAACTTACCATTTCTTATTTCCTGTCTTAAATCTGTGATGCCAGTTGGGATTCCCATCAAATTTTGTTTCATTCTTTGAATGCTTCCTTTTATCCTAAATTCAGTAACATGGTAAGAGTGTGAGAGAGTGAACTGAAATCTCTCCTCAATGCATTTCATGGCCATCTTTATTAATTGATCTGTTTTTACTTGATCCTTTTCTGCTGCCTGGAGAACACCAGGACTGTAGGCAACATTGATGATTATATAAACATCTGTATGTAATTCAGAGGGTATAAAATAAGATCACTTGTTAATGATACTTAATATGTCAGGCAACATATTAAACCAGATTGCTGGTAAAGTTAGAAAATACAAATTCTATTCCTATATTTTTCAGAGGCAATCACAATGTATGGTACTATATACACAAAACTCCCAATTAAGACATTGCTTGGCATTTTTATATGGGTTAAAAGCAGATTGTTATTGGAAAAACTGAACAATATTAAATTTGCATAAAGGTACTCTAAATTGTCATTAACTATGTTACCAACAAGCTATTTTACTTGAAAAGCTTTTACCAAGTAAAAGCTGGTTCTTGCTTATTCCCCATAAAAAGTCAAAATATGCTTTCTTCCTTTAGTTTCTTGTACCTGATGTCTCAGAGATATCTTCTGGTTTGCCAACACTTATAGGTACTGGATGAGTAGCTGATTGGGGAGCTGGGATCCTTTTCCACTGACATAGGTTGATAAAAAGTATTTTTTCTTTTGGTTTCTGGAAAGTGAATAATTTTGCTATCTCAAAAACTAGGTTTTCAAACTCTCGTTCCCCTTCTCCACTCCCCCCACAAACCTAGGCTTTTTTTTTTTAATTTTAAGATAAGGTCCTAAAAGCAACTCATCACAGGGTGTGAAGAGAGAGATTGTGTGTGTGTGTGTGTGTGTCTATGGTGCTGGGGATTGAAACTAGGACCTCACATACGCTAGGCAAGTAATTCACCAGTAAGAAGAGGGAAAATTTTAGGTGCTAAGTCGTTCCCTGTATTAAAACTGTGCTTGATAAATTCCTTTTTTTTTAAATGGTACTGGGGTTTAAACTCAGGGCTCACCCTTGCCAGGCAGGCTCTCTACCACTTGAGCCACTCTGCCAACCCTCTTTTTGTTTTGGGTATTTTCTAAACAGGGCCTTGCAAACTATTTGACTGGGCTGGCCTCCAGCAGTGATCCTCCTGATCTCTGCCTCCTGAGTTGCTAGGATTGCAGGCTTGAGCCACCAGCACTTGTGAATAAATTACTTTTGTTAACTTGATATCCCCAAAGCTGTTGGCTTTTTATCATGAATCCAGCTGCTGCTCCCTCCCGGGGGCGGGGGGGAATGATGTGTGCAGTTGTTCTTGGTGTATTTCACCACTTCATTACATCGCCAACAAAGTAAGTTCTCTAAATGAAAAAGCTCCAACTTCATGATTTGCTATTAAAAAATTGCATCACTTTTTCTTTTTTCCTTCTAGCAGTTAAAAAATGGTCTATTTTGTGATTTCCAAAATATGTCAGGTATTGGGCCAGGTGGTGGTTGTGCGTGCCTGTATTCTAAGATACTTGGGAGCTCAAGAATATGAGGACTGCTTTTTGAGGCCAGCCCAGGCAAAAAAGTTAGTGAGACCCCATCTTAACAAATGAGCTAGGTGTGGTTGTTCACATCTGTAACCCGAGCTATGCTGGAGGATATAGGTACGTGGATTGTGGTACAAGGTCAGCTCTGGCAAAAGTAAGACACTATCCCAAAAATAACTAAAGCAAAAAGGTTGTGGGGGGCTGCCTCAAGTGGTAGTTTGTCTAGCAGGTTCCAGGCCCTGAGTACAAATCCCAGTATAGTATAGATAGATAGATAGATACAGATAGATATATATAATTTCCTTCTTAATTCTTGAACATAATCTCCCATGCTATATTTCACTTTCTATTTAGAGAGTTTCCATCAAGTTTTCTTGTGTGCTAAAACAACAGTAGCTAAGAGTGAGATGTCCTCTGGTTATTCTTGGATCATCTCAATGAAGGCTTCCCTATTCCTTGCACAAGTCTACATACTAGAATCCTGGTCTGTAGACAGAGCTGTGGTTCTGGGCCATCACAGAGATCTCTTCCCTCTTTCAGCTCCTGTTGAATGAAGTTCTTATAACGCTCAGGGTCACTCTCAGCTAGATCATCTAGGAGGTTCCAGAATTGAGAAATTTGAGTCAGCAGATCCTTTGAGGATGTCTTCATGATTGGTGCTTAGATGGGTCTCTGAAGCCTGTGGAAAGACAAGACTTAAGGGAAAGAATGTGTAACTATTGATTTATTTCCACTTTTAGAAGAGTGTGAATGGATCAGTAACTTTTGGTGAAGTTATCAGCTATCCTGAATACCTGCATCTAAAAGATTTTCCTTATTCTGTGATTATATTCTGTATGTAGTGCCCCTTCCTAAATTCCCAACTTGCTCCCTCAAATTGATCTTGACCTGGATTATCACAAACCCCGAGGGAGCTAAGCAGTCATTTTAGGTCTTGGATTCTGGTGCTCCTCTTGTTCAAACACTTGGACATTGGCCGGTTGTTGGTGCCGCCGCCCCCTCCCCCACCTGGCACACTCCAGAACTGTGTGTGTGCCAGTGGACAGGGGCCACGTGAGATCTCCTCAGTCCTCAGTGTGGTGTAGTAGCTAAGAGTAAGGATCCCAAGCAACTTGCCTAGGTTCCAGTCTTAGCTCTGGCTCCAGCTAGCCACGTGACTTTGAACGAGTAATGTCTGTGTGTGCCTCAGTTTGTTTTACTCAAAATGAAGATTGATAACATCCACCTCATGGAATTATCGTGAGTATTAAGTAAACTAATCTAGAGAAGCTGGAAAACTTGGTAAACATGAGCGTATGAGAGTAATCATCTTTCTAGTCTTGAGATAACTCCTTGCCCCCCACTCCCACCACTGGAGGGGTGTCCCTCACCATGCAAAAAATGAGGAAAAGAGAAGACAGAGATTCTCCGAATACTGTATCAGGATTAGACTCAATATAATAACCAACAATCGTCCCAAAGTCTGGGAACCCACCTCTTCCCTCGGCTCCCAAACAAACCGCGACGCCTGTTACCAGGGTAACCAGACTGGTACAACGTCTAATTGGGTCCGGGAAGCTCCACACAGAAAAGTCTCCTTACCTCCAGTTCCGGAATCTCCTCCTCCAGAGGCCGAGCTTGCTTTTCAGCTGGGCCGGACTCCTTTTCCAAGAAAGCGCCTGCTTCCTTTCTGTACCTGTCGGCCTCTACCGTGTCCAGCCAACCCTTCCAGCGGGAGTCTCCGGGCCTCGCGTTGGGAGGAAGGGTTTCTTGGGAGCACGACTTCCGGCCTGGATGGGAAGCTCCCCACTTCCCCCCGGGTTCTCCCAGAGCGCTTCCTCTCCCCACCCCCGCCACGCGAGGCTGCGGCGCACGGTATGGGTGTGTTTGTGTGTTTGTGTGGGGCGGGCGTTTGGAGGGAAGGTTACCGGGAGCTCTGAGGCCGCCGCGGGGCAGGGATCCCGGTGACAAAGATGGGGGCGTTTTTTCTGTCTTCCATTTGGAAACCTCAGCCCCCCCGTCGGGTACTCTAGACACTTCCTGGGCCCAACGGAAGGTCGCCGTGCCCATCCCGAGTGTCCCCATCCTGTCTGGGGAGCGAGTGACACCCAACCGCCGGGGGCCATCGCGGCCGCGCGCAGGGCATGCCCGGGTCCCCGCGCCGCCCGCCGCACTCCGCGCCGGCGCCCCCTCTGCTTCTGGCCTGCCGGGCTGGGCTGGGGGAGGCGGCGGGGGCCCCGGCCCGGGCGAGGGCAGAGTAACCGGTGGGAAGGCCGCGCTTTCACGGAGGACTCGGGCGGAGCTGCACAGCTGCCTTTGAGCCCCGACTCCTTGGCTGCCCGGGTCGGAGGAGATCTTGTAATGGAGCGGTTCCTCGTCTCCCACTAACAAGATGCCTGATTTCCTCAGGATCGAGGGGTGAGTGAGCGTTGGGGTGCTCGCGCAGAGCCCCTGCCGGCTTCACATGTGAATGAATATCTTTGAAATGTAGTTCTTGGAAATGGGAAATCAAATGCCCCGAATTGAGAAATTTAGGTCACTTCGCATTTCTTTTCTTTTTTTAGGCTTCAGTTTTTGTGACCTCTGATACTCTTAAATCTAGCGATTCTTCTCCTAGCAAACAAATTTTGGGATTCCACATTTGATTTCTAATCTGGACGCTGACATACTGTGGTTTGCCTGGGACTGTGTGCCCTGGGGCGAGTTCTGTGCTTTACGGGAATTTCATCCACAAAATAGGAATGGAGATACAGCAGGCCCTACTCTGTCCACCGTTCAGCATCTTCAGGGTGAACGGTGAACCAACAGCCAATTGAAAATATTTGGGAAAAACTGTGTCTGTACTGAACGTGTACAGACTTCTCTTGTCATTATTCGCCGAACAATTCAGTATAGGCACTTCTTTATATAGCCTTTGCACCGTGTTAGGAATTGTAAGTGACCCAGACATGATTTAAAGTATACAGGAGGTTGCGCATAGGTTATATGCAAACACAATTTTATCGAGAGTCTTCAGCACTCTTGGATTTTGATATCTGTGTGAGTCCTGGAACCAATCCCCTGAGGATACTGCGGGACAAGTCCTTCCCTCATTAAAAATTACTGAGAGGATTAAATAAAATAGTGCTCATGAAAACACTTGTGTGCAGTCTTGTGTGGTTTTAAAGAACTTTAATATACATATCTCTGTTCATCCTGACATTAATTGTGGCCAGGCATTTTTTATGGTGAACGAAAAAGTATTCCTTAGGACCTTTGTCTTGTAGTTCAGAGATCTTTCCTGATACTTCTTTATGATGTTTAATAAAAGGTAAGATAATTGAGGAAGTTATTAAATGCCATCTATTGGTTCATTGCAGATTGAAGAATGTCCCGGGTTCCATTAGGGAAAGTCCTCCTGAGGAATGTCATCCGGCACACTGATGCTCACAATAAGGTGTGTGGGGGGGGCGTGGAACGGGTAATGACCCAGTCATTCTTCAACACCTAACTGAGGGCATACAGGGTACTAAGCATTTTTTTTTTTTGACACAGTAGGGAGATAACAAAAGATGAATAAATAATTATAGTATAGTTTGATAAGCACTATATAGTGGAGTCAGTAATAGAGTGCTTTAGAGCACTGAGGAAGGAATAATGAAATCTGCCTTTGGAAATTAAAGATTTCACAAAATGAGTGGCATCTGAGCCTCTGATATGTGAACTTTTTTTTTTAATTACTGCTTTTTTATTGACATACATTAATAGTACAAGGGGGTTTCATTGTGATGATTCCATAGATGCGCATATAATGTAATATGGGCAACTTCATCCCCTCTACTGTATTCCCTTAAGTTCCTTCCTCCACCCCACTCCCTCTTTTGCAAACAGTATTTGGTGGGTTTCATTTTGCTATCTTCATATAAATATAAGTAACATACTTTCATCCTCTTCAACCCCATTACCCTCTCCTTTGCTGCTCCCTCCTCTGATATCCTTTCAGTTCCTCTTTTACACTTAGGTCCCATTATCATCATTATCAGTATCATTTTAGGTCTAGATTCTGCATTTGAGTAAAAACATGAGGCATTTGGCTTTTTAAAAACTTGTTTTTGGTGGTACTGGGGTTTTGAACTCAGAGGAGGCAGGTGCTTTACTGCTTGAGTCATGCCTTTTTGAGCTTGGCTTATCTCCATCAACACCATGATCTCCAGTTCATCTGTTTTTCTACAAATGACATTTCATTCTTTAGGCTGAATTGAACTAGTTGTTGATGAATGGTTATAGGCTTACTAGATATGAAAGCTCATTCTCTACAAGAGAGCATCATGTGCTAGTACATGGCACCAGAAAGATCAGGGGCTGGTGATACAGGTCAGTAGTCAAGTGCTTGCCTAGCTTGTGCAAGGTTCTGCATTCAGTCCCAATCACTGCAAAAAGAAAAGAGAAACGAATCACTTTAGGCATGGAAAGAAGTTATATGCTCCCAGAAAGTGGGAATTGTAGGGGATATTGGCAGAAGGCCCAAGTAGCAAGTTAGAGTTGGCTTTAGAAAGATGATGTTGGTTTTAATGAAAGCAGTGACATAAAAATGATGTAGAGGCACTTAAGAGATAGAATCCAAAAAACCTGGTGACTGAGTAGATGATAGTGATAAGAATAGGATCAAATATAGTCACCATCTGCAACTTGGGTGATGATAATGATGAACCCATTAACTAAGCTGCAGAACAGTAACTCAAAAGGACAAGTATGAGGAATAGAATTAGCTTGGTTTCAAAGATATTTATGGGAAGGAACTTACAGTTGAAAAGACTCAGAAGAAAAGAGAAAAATTGGGAATTATTGATACATAGATAGATGGTAGAGGTCATGAGACTAGATGAGGTCACCTAGGAGAGCACATGTAATGAAAAAGGTCCTGCGTTTAGTTTTTTCTAGTGAACTGTACTACTAGTTTGATCATAAATACTACTACTAAATCTCCTGGATTTTCTTTATTGTGGGTGAGAATATAAGTGTAGCCTATGCAATTGTGTTGATTCCACTCCTAGTTATTTGGTGAGCATAGATTTTTGATTGGCAGTTAAAGATAAATCTAGCACAGATTTAGCAGTTATTCAGAAGGACTTAGAAATAAAACATGGTCTTGTTCTTTGGACAGTTGTAGTCTGCTTTTTTAGGAAATTCTGTAGCAATCACATTGTTTTATTTTGTTTTTCACAAGAATCTTAATGTGGGGCTGGAGGCGTGACTCAAGCCGTAAGAGCACCTGCCTGGCAAGCATGAAGCCCTGAGTTTTACCCAATATGGCAAAAAAAAAAAAAAAAAGGAATCTTAATGTGAAAAGAAACTCAGCCTAGAGAATTAACTAGTATTTTTTACTTTGGTAAAATTTGCTAATTGCAGCTTGATTACAAAATAGATAAAGTGATAAATGTGCTGAATTTGCGATTTATTGCGTTGGGTTTCTAGAGAAACCAGAATTTACAAGTCCCTGATCATAGCCCATATTATAACCTAGTAATTAGTGTAGACTGTATTTTCAGTTAGTTGCCCTTTTTTTTTTTTTAAATAATGTAAAGTGTTGTTTTTAGTTACTGATTTTTATTTCTTTACTTTTTAAAAATTAGATTCAAGAGGAATCAGATATGTGGAAAATTAGAGAACTAGAAAACAGATGGAGGATGCTTACCAGGGGACCAAAAGGAGAATGTTACCTAGCAGTTCAAGGTAAAGTTGCATCTCTGAGCACCAAAATAATTCTCAGTCCTTATAGAACCATTAACTTCTGTTTAAAAGCATTTTAATATGTTAAGGATGGATGAATTCAGTTCTGTGAGTCATTAAGCCTTCCCTGTTTGATAAATCTGGACCCAAGCATAAAGATGATGGCTATGGTGCATATAGCTAGACTCTTTGTACTTACTTACAATGGGAAATTTAGAAATTCTGCTTGGACACTTATAAATGTTCAGAGTATATAAGTATATAGGGTATATGTGGTTAAAAAGATGAACTCTCAATATAAAACAGGGTTTTTTTCTTTCTGAAGGTAGTCCTTTGGAAATTTAGAAGTACAGTTAGTTGATTTGTTTTGTATTGATTGTGTATTCCAAGTGACACTTTCAGAAACAATGATTACTCTAAAGGAGCAGACTCTTTATTTATGCATCTCTTGGTAAAGAAATCTTTCTTTTTAATTAGTTGTTTTTTTAAGTTGACAAAAAGTGAATAATTTTTAAAAACTTTTAGGGGCAGGGATTCTGTCTTATTTCTTATTGTATTCCTGCCAACTAGAATAGTACCTGGCATACAGAAGACTTTCAGCTTGATTGTTTGAGAAGGGTCTCACTATATTGTATGCTATCCTCAAATTAGCAACCCTCCTGCCTTAGCCTCCTGAGTTCTAGGACTGCAGGTGTGCATTACCATGCCCAGCTTGAAGTCCCTAAAACATTTTTGGTTGACTAATTAACTGAGTTATTGGCTGGTTAGTGGACATTGTAACTAGAGGCTGAATCAATGGTTCTCTGTTTTTTTCCTACCATGGTTTAGGCCTTATTCCAAATGTTAATATTGCTTCCCTACAGGAAGTTGCTGGCTTGCAGGGGAGAGAGAGATTTTTCAGAATCTCAAGGGTAGTTTATTTTTTGTGGTGGTCCTGGGGTTTAAATTCAGGGCCTCATGCTTGATAGGCAGGTGCTGCACCACTTGAGGCACCCTGCAAGCCCTCTAGGTTACAGTGTCCCTGGTGTGATTTGCTCTTCTTCCATCATTGCATGCTTTCCTACTTGAAAATCAGTGCAGAAGCTATAGCATGACTCTGATTCACAGTGAATCAGTAGTGAATTCACAGGAGGTATTTCATCTTTGCAATAGGATGGGTAGTAATGGCCATATACTTCCATTTGTCTTTACAAACACACAAGAGTGTATTAGGTGGCCTTTTGTCACTGTAACAGGTAACTATATACCTGGCATGATTAATTTATAAAGAGAAGAGGTTTATTTTGGTTCACAGTTTTAGAGGTTCCAGTCCATATTCAATTGGCTCCATTGCTTTGGGTCTGTGGTGATATAGTGCATCATGGTAACAGTGCATGGTTAAGCAAAACTGCTCACTTCATAATCAAGAGCAAAGAAGAAGTAGAAAGGGGCTAGGGTCCCACAGTCGTCCTTGAGGCCACACCTCACAATGATCTGAAGTTCAAACACATCTTAAAGGTTTCATTGCCACCCTGGGGACCAAACCTTTAACACACAGGCCTTTGGGGAACATTCCAGATCCAAACAAAAAGGAATATATAATGTCTAATGTGTTTTATTTACTTACTTTAAAAAGCAGTATTAAGTTGTTTTGTTCTCCCCTCAGCCTGTTCCATGAGTTTTGTGCATCATGTTTCATAAAGTAAATCTCATAGATTATTTTTAAATCTAAAAGTTCTTCTGTTTTCATTTATAGTCGTATGCGTAGTGATGGTTTTGATGAAGAAAGTCAGAGAGACTACTGGAGGCCAAAGAATGAAATTTCTGGGGCAGTGGAGGATGATTTTCTTAAGGCCAAATCCTGGAATAAGAAGTTATATAATTATGAAGCTAACATGCCAGACAGGTTTGTGACTAACTTCTTGTGACCTGTAATGCTATTTGGCTTTAGAAATATGTACTTGCTAAAATTAGTTGTCCCCACAAAAACTTGAACAAAAGCATTCATAATAGCTTTATTCATAATAGCTTTATTCATAATGGCCAAAAAGTTGAAACCCAAACATCAACTGAAAGTGGATAAAGGGTATTAAGTACAGATACATGCTATAACATGGAAAAACTTTGTAAAGCTTGTACAAGGTGAAAGTAGACACATTTTTATGATTCTATTTATGTGCAAATAGATAAATCCATGGAGACAGATTAATGTTTCCTGTGGGCTAGAGGCACTGTACTTTAAAAGGGCAAATTTCTTAGTATGTAAATTATGTTTCAGTAAATATTATAAAATTATATTAAAAATTGTTCCAATGTTGACAGCATTATGTTATGAAGTGTTTTTGGAAAAGTGCTTCACAGCAAAAGAACAGTGTCTGAGCTGAGTCCTTTAGTGTTTTTTCTTGCTTTTTTTTTTTTTTTTTTGGCAGTACTGGGGTATGAATTCAGGGTCTTGCCCTTGCTAGGCAGGTGCCCTACCACTTGAGTCACACCACCAGCCCTAGTGTTTGTTTAAGAGAACAGGAAATTCTCTTATAAGTGGACAAAGGAGCTGGGGGAATTACTCAGGTTGTTTCCTATACTGGATATTTTTTTGGCAGCATTGGAGTTTGAACTCAATACATCACCATTGTTAGGTACTTACTGCTTGAGCCACTTCTCTAGCAAGCATTACTCAAGTTACAGAATGCTTGTCTTACAAGTATAAGGCCCTAAATTCAAGCCCAGTACTGCCCCCTCTCAAACACAATATAAAAAGTAGACAAAGGAATCCTTTGTGTCTGAAATGATAGAGTGCAGAAAATGTAGCTGTTTCTGAGCTGTAATTGGTGTTACTCTACCATCTCTTTCTTGTCTTTGTTCTGTATATGTCTGCATATGCACGTACTCTAAACTCTAATTGTCTTTCAAAAATATGCATTGACTTTGTTGGGCTGGGAACATAGCTCACGTGGTTGAGTGCCTGCCTAACAAGTGCAAGGCCTTGAGTTCAAACCCCAGGTCCACCAAAAAAAAAAAAAAAAAAAAAATGTATATTGCTTTAACAAATGTAATATGTATGTCATCTTACAGATGGGGTCACAGTGGTTATAAAGAGTTATACCCTGAAGAGTTTGAAACAGACAGGTAAGATAAATAAGCTTGGTATAAAGTCTGTACTATAAATTGTGTTCCTTTTACAAAAGTTGTATTTGCCACTGAAAATGTAGCTAGAACCTGATGTGCTGGTATATGCTAGTAGTCCCAGCTATTCGGAAGGGTGAGGCAGGAGGATTGCTTGAGCCCAGAAATTTGAGCCAGTCTGGGTGACATAGTGAGACCCTCTATTGAAAAAAAAAATAATTTACTTAAAGCGATCCTTCTTATATCTTCCTTCTAATGGATATTTGACCGGGAATGTCTATAGGCCTTTGGTTTTTACATACAGTAGTCCCCCATTTTCTGAGAGGATATGTTCCACTACCCCCCAGTGGATGCCTGAAATTTTAGCTATTACTAATTTTTTTTTTTTTGGTGGTGGTGGCAATGGAATTTAAACTTAGGGCTTCAGCTTTCAAGTCAGGCACTCTACCACTCCAGCCCATACTGATCTTTTATATTTTTTCCTATATACATGTATTTATGACAAACTTTAATCTTTTCACTTTAAGAAAGTACTTTATGAATTCTCTTTCCCATATTTGAATTGTCAGCATCACTCTTGTGCTTTGGGGCCATGATTAAGTAAAATAAAGATTACCTCAGCATAAGCATTTCTGTACCAGGACAATGGATCTGATAGCCCTGGTGGCTAATAAATTATGAAAGGGTGGGTAGCTGGGCAAAAGGACAATTCAGGTCCCAAGCGGGACATGCTGGAAGTGAGAAATTTTATCATGCTATTCAAAATAACACGCAGTTGAAAAATTAGGAATTCTCATGTTTATTTCTGGAATTTTCTATTTAACATTTTTTGGACCATGGCTGACCACAGGTAACTGGAGCCACAGTCAGTGAAACTGGATAAATGAGAACTGGTTTAGTATTCTATACAGTAAGTCACTATGGCAGATTACAGATTTTTATCTTTTTTTTTTTTTTTTTCAATACTGGAGTTTGAACTTAGGGCTTCACACTTGTTAGGCTGGTACTCTACTCCTTTAGCTACTCCATCCCTGTTTTTTCTGTATTGGATAGCTCTGAGATAGTCTCTCGAACTGTTTGCCCGGGCTGCCTTCAAACTGTGATCCTCCTGATCTTGGCCTCCTGAGTAGCTGGGATTACAAGCATAAGCCACCAACCAGCACCTGGCTTTATATTTATTTTAAAGCTGAGAAAACAAAAATTCAGGATAATAAAGTCATAGTAGTCCTATCATAGTTCTGATTTAAAATTTAGATGTTAATGATTTCCTACCTAGAAGGCAGAATATTAAAATATAAGTATCCTTTTTCTTTTCTATAAAAGTTTTATCTTTCTTGTTGGTAGTGATCATCAGGATATCACCAATGGGAAAAAAACATCTCCTCAGGCAAAATCATCTGCCCATGAATCCCGAAAACATAAGAAGTCAAAGAAATCCCACAAAAAGAAGCAGAAAAAAAAGTCACACAAAAAACAGAAGAAAAGTAAAAAGGAAGCTACAGACATAACAGCAGATTCCTCAAGTGAGTTCTCAGAAGAAACTGGGCCTTCCAGTACCAGGAAAAGGAAACAATCACATAAACGCAAGAAAAAGTCCAGGAAAAAGTCTCTCAAAAAATCTGATTTATTCTTAGGGGCAGAAAATGACACTTCTGAGTCAGATGATTCAGCAGCCAGCAGTTCTGAGGAAAGTGAAGAAAGAGACACTAAGAAAACCAAAAGGAAAAAGAGAGATAAAAATGTCCATATTCCTGAAGCTAACAATGAAATACAGGAGAGGACAAATAAACGCACAAATTGGAAAGTGGCTACAGATGAAAGGTCTGCTGAGAGCTCAGAGGATGACTAGATGGGAAGACACATTAATTTCCCACTTGATTCTGGATAGTTAAGCTCTTATACCTTGGGGTTTTTTGCCAGTGACTCCTTTAACATAGGGGTCTGAGGTCAGAGCTGTCATGTGCCATCTTATGTTTTGCCAGACTCCTTGTCTTCTATTTTGGCCTGTTAAACTTGATCCCCTTTTCTTGTCAGTGGGGAATCTGGTATTTTGTTATGAAGGTTTCTTGAAGAGATTATTTTTTTTTGCAATTAATCACATTTAGGATAGAGTACCTACACAGCAAATTAAAGGACCCAGAAAGCTGAATTCAGTAATGACCTAGGTACACCAAACATTGAATTTGGGAAATCAAGGGCTGGGATCAAGAGGTGAGTTGGAAGCAGTGCTATGTAGAATGGTTTGACAAAGGGAACACTATGTTCTCTGTCTTTGCTCATACAGCAGGTGTTATAACTGACTTGTCTTCAGTCATGGTGCTTTGAGCCTCATGTATTTTTGTATTTTGACCCCACAGGTGTGGTCTAGTTTACTTAATGAGGAAATGGGCATAAGAACAAACCTTTTGCCTTTATGGTGACATCTAGACAGACAACTGTTGTTAGAAGGGACTATGGTTTTCTCAATTTTCCCTGCTGGACAGGGTCTATAATGACACTTAGTATACCCCTAACACATGGCAACTGGATAGTAAACGGTTTTCTAGTTCCATTGCTGTATATTGCCTAAATGGACTTTCGTTTGAAATTCTTCAGTTGTCATAATCTGTTCAAATGTTGAAGAATTAGGAATTAGTCATGCTGTCAAATGCTCTGAAAGGGATGCAAGGCAGCAATTGCCATTTAAAGTTTTTTTTTTTCCATGTTGGGGATCAGACCCAGGGCCTTGCGCACGCTAGGCAAGCACTCTACCACTGAGCTGTACCCCCGCCCATTGTCTTCCTGGTTCATTTCTAACTCTATTAATGAATTTTAGATTTTCCCTGAAACTAAGTTGAATCTGTTCCAAAATGAAACAGGCTTCTCAGGGACATACCTACTTCTTCCCAGTCTGCCTTTTGGTTAAAAGCACCAAGCAGAGACATTATTTCCCTTTGCTATACTGTGATCCCTACATTATTAAGAAACCAAAATATCACTGAAAGGAGGCTGGCCGAATGCATGAGTGTTTCATTATGGGAGAAAAGATCAAGTGACAGTGTCAGTTTTTTTCTGCTTGTCACTTCATAAGCTGAGTAAAAAGCATGAAAATTCAGACTTTTGGTCTTGGTTCTGCCACTTGGTTATGAGTTCTAGAGGAGGTTAAGTTACCCTCCCTGGCCTTACTTTCTACATGTGTAATACAAAAATACTTCATGGTAGCATGACAATTTAAGACACCAGCAACAGAATACAACTATGATGACATTCCATGAAGTGGCATTTTATAGTTCTAACTACTAAATTAGTTCTCCTTATTGAATAAATTTCTAATAAAGTGGTTGGTTTTCAAATACATAGTTGGCCAGAGGTGCCCTATCCCTTATTATGAGCAGGTGCTACCTTTCGGGATATTGAAATATTAATACTTTGGTACACAACTGTCAATGTTTCATGGTGTATATTTTTATTCTTGCTATTAGTAGAGGCCGAGTGGGGGAAGAAGAGTCTAATTACTACCTCTTAACCTTCTTGGAGCAAGTGAGATCTTTGCTAGAAGTAGTTCTTAGCATGTATTTTTTTAAAGCATTATTTTTTGCTCTAAAAGTACTGATTCCAAGCACACATTCAGGAAAATGGGCCAGCAGAACATGGTACCTCCAGAAAATTGGCTCTATGTGGGTCTTACCTTTCTTTCCTCCCATACTAGCAGTCTTTTTCTCCAGGGAATATACATTATGCCTTTTTCTTTTTTTGCCATGTTTATCTTTTCTTGGTCATATATAAGCAATAAAGCTGTTTTCTGTTTTTGGCTTTTCACAACCCCAAGTTCTCTTCTATGCCTTGGGCTAAGGCTTTGATGGTCTAACCCCTTCAACTATGGCTTAGGATGGCTCTTTAAAACCTATGATCTCCTATTTGCACTACCAGCCTTGGGACCTATTTATTTCTAGTGTTCCTGCTAATCAGAGATCTTTATTAAATCCTAAAATGAGATTTAAAGGAAAAAAAAAAAAAGGTTGGAGAATTCACATTTATTGACTGATGTGATACAACCTGGAATTTCTGAATTCCAAATAAATTTCACTTTTTGAACATTTGATCTGTTCTTTTTAGCACCAACAGACTTGGTAACTACCTGATGCTAACCTCACTGGTCCTTCAACTCTCTTAGTAACAAGTCCTTTGCTTCTGTCATTCTCCAGAGGAATGTCTATTGCCCTCCTTTCTGTACGATCTGGGCAAACCGACTGGTGATGGTAAGAGTAGTGTCAATGAAGCGGTCCACACAGCTAGAGAGACAATTTTCAGTGCGAGAGTCTAGGCGATTCCCTGGCTTTTCCACACATTTATCCCAACATAGCTCCATGAAGTGATGAACCTAAGAAGAAACAAAAATAGTAACCACTGGAATCTGTGTTTAGGCCTAACTTTCCATTTTCTTATCCCCTCATTTTCCATGACTTGATAAAATGGTTCTTTAAACAAACTAATTAGCTTTGGGTTCTCCTCTTTACTTCATTTGTTACCAGTCATGGCCCAGATCCTCATCCCTACAGATGATAAATTCTTAGTATGACTACTCAGTCTTCCTCAGAGCAGCTAGAACCAATATAAATAGGAAGGTAAGCACTGCACTCACTCAGAATCTAATACGCTCCAGAGTTCTTAATAGTTTGAGAGTCATAGACAAAGTGAATCTGATGAAGGGCATGGATTCCTCCCCCAGAAAAATGCACATAGTAAAAAAGGCACAGAAAATGTGTGCACCTTCGGAATGTCAGCACGCAAAGATTTCAAACGGGCTCTTGCTACTCATCCTGCGAGGTTTTCCTCACTCTCACCCCAAAGGGAGTAAATAACCATTTACCCAAGATATTTACTTGAAGGCTGGGTGCTAAATAGTTAACTCTGTGAAGTCCCAAAAGATGGCAATTATTAAGTAGTACGTCTAAGGTCGTGGGGTTAGCAAGGGCCATTCCAGGGTTTGAACGTGCCTCAAGGGCTCCAAAATCCTTGGTGGTCCTAAACCAACAGTCTACATTGACTGCATCGGAGCCCACCTTTTCCAATAATGCTCTAGTGGTCCTCATTTTCGAATAGGAGTAAGGCATGGTTCTCACAATTCAAAAAGGCAGTGGGTGACGGCTAAACTAGAACTCAATTGGGTGGGTGCTTTCCCAGCGGCACTTGGTCTCCAAGGGGCAAGACAGGATCAGAACCCAGAGTTCCTTACACCTGAGCCCGGGCAGGCCTCAGGCTCATCGGGCTCCCCGCGTCCCCACGACGCCCAGCCAAAGACGGGAGGGCCGCGGTTTCTCTCTTGTGAGAGCCGAAGCGCAGCTGGCATCCAGCACCGGGCAGCCTCGCCGCGCCGACGGTGTACGGAGTTCCGCGGTGCCCGGAATCCGTACTTCCCTTTTCTGTCCCGCCACCTATCAGGGTTGGTTCCCAACCCCGCACCTGAGCAGTGAACTGAGCCTTCTGCTGTTCGCTCGCCACCAGGCGCTGCAATTCCGCTTCGTCCGCCTCACCCAACTCCGCCATTACCCGTGTATGGCTAAGGACCTCCGCCACTCGCGTGTGCGCATGCGTGGCGTGCGTGTGCCGCAGCCCGACTTCCGGTGAAGCTCAGCGTTTTCCTCCTCCTTGTTTTCTTCCCCGCCGGGTGGCAGTTGATGCAGAACTACTTCCGGGTTGGCGGATGACCTTGATCCCTCCGAGGCAGGATGGCTGTTCTGTCACGGCTGAGCGTCCTTTGCGGTGCCCAGGGACGCCGAGGTGAGGGGTCCTGCAGTCAGAGGTGCTTGATGCAGCTTCCAGCAGGGGAAGGGCGTGGAAGCGAGGACTTGTCCCCCGAGGAGAGGAAATCCTTCTTTCTTGTTTTCGGCCGCTCAGGCCTCTGGCCGAATCACAGCAGTGACCACCAGAGCCTCGAGCCCAAGTTCGCCCTAGTTCAGGGCTGACGAAGTGATGGGGTAATCTGAAAAAAAATCCTTTGGATACAGTACTCCTGAGGGCATTCCATATAGGACTTTTCCGTCCATCATCCCATCCTTGTTGGGAAAGAGGATCCCTGTCCCTATCCTACCCGTTTTCCCAGGGCTGGTGTGCTTGAAAGTGGGTGTGGGGGATCCGTGCCGTAGTCCTTTAACTGCGCGTTTGCGTCGAACCAGCCACTGTTGCAAGACAGGGATTCAAGTTGGAGTAAAACAGAATTCCTGCCCTCAAAGAACTTTCAGTTTTTAGGGAAAAACACAAGTAAGCATAATCTAACATAAAACAAGTGTACATAAATTGTTATATAAGCCTAGAGAATATTTTTATCTGTGTTTTTGAAGGATTAGCCTTTTTTTTTTTTTTTTTTTTGTGGCGGTACGGGAGTTTGAACTCAGGGTTTGGCGCTTGCCAGGCAGGCGCTCTAACGCTTGAGCCATGCCCCATCTTAGTTCTTAAGAAGGTGGGTGTATCTGAAAGTCTTGAGAATAAAAAAGGCCAAGGAAAGACAGACATTATAGTTTGAAGTCAGATGAATGAAAGCAAGGATGAAGGCATAGACAAGTAGAATAGTATCAGAGCATGAAGATCACAGTAAGAAATTAGAAGGGTGAAATGGAACTTTTAAGGATTGTGCACTTTACCTGTTGTTGAAGGGTAGCTTTTTTTTTTTTTTTTTTTTGAGAGGCTCTTCCTATGTGGACCAGGCTGGTGTCCAACTCCTTGGCTTACAAGAGCTAGAAAGGATAGCTGTTGAAAGGTTTGACAGATTTACAGTGTAGACTTGCCATTTTTCAAGTTTGTTTTTTATGGGGGAAGTTGGTAGTGTTGGGGTTTGAACTAAGGGCCTCACGCTTGACATGCAGGTGCTCTATCCTTTGAGCCACGCCTCCAGCCCTGCAATTTGTTTTCTTTTGTTTTGCTTTTTGTTTTTTGAGACTGGTGTCTCACTACATTGCTCAGGTTAGCTTAGAACTTGGGATCCTCTTGCTTCAGCCTTCAGAGTATGCAGTATTTCAGGAAGGTGCCACCATGCCTGGAAATTTTCTTTTTTCTTCTTTTTGAACCCAGCGTGTTTATTCACACTACCCTCATGCTCTAGTACTGAGGCCAGCCAGGGCAAAATTAGTCAGATCCAATCTCAGAAACAAAATAAATGTAAAAGGGCTGGGGCGTAGCTTAAGTGGTATGGTGCTTGCCTAGCAAGTGTGAGGCCCTGGGTTCAGACCCTAGAACTGCCAAAAAAAGATTGCTGGCTCAAGAGTATGAATGGAGGGCTGGCAGAGTGGTTCAAGTGGTAGAGTGCCTGTCCAGCAAGCATGAGGCCCTGAGTTCAAAACCAAGTACTGCAAAAAAAAAAAAAGTATGTCTGGAGACACTGGTCTTGAAAAGGAAGAGAAGAATAGGTGAACTTCCCAAACTAGACCTGATTCCTTGAGGGCAAATGCTTGGCCTTTTATCTGTCTTACTCCAGTGCCAAGCACAGTCTTGCATGTAGTAAATATTGGATACGTAGGTGAACAAATGGAAAAAGAAAGAAGCTGTCATTTATTTAAAATGAAAAAAAGTGAGGCAGTTACATAAGTTTTTAATTGATTCTTCAGGGGGGTTTTGTTTTGTTTTGATTTTGGTGAGACTAGGGTTTGAACTCAGGGCCTTACACTTGTTAGGCAGGAACTCTACCACTTGAGCACATTCTCAGCCCTTTATGCTTTAGTTTATTTTTCAGATAGGGTCTCTCCTTTTTCCCAAGCCAGGCCTTGGACTTTAATCCTCCTACCTATGCCTCCCCAGTAGATGAGTTTACAGGTATAAAACACCATGCCTGGCCCAGTAATTTTTTTTTTTTTTTAAGTAAAGAATGGCTTTTTGATCCTTCAGTCTTTTCAGTAGTTTCTTAGTCTGATTTCAAAGTAGCCGAGTGAAATAGATGGTGATCTTCATTTTACAGATGAGATGTTGCCCTCATTTAGAGTTAAGTGGCTTACTATGGTCATTTAGAAAGTCTTTCAGTTCTACTCAAGAAGGACCTTTGGTCCCTGTAATGTTTCTTCCCTCAGCTCTGTTCCTCCGAGCACCAGTGGTCAGACCTGCTTATGTCTCAGCATTTCTGCAGGACCAACCTACCCCAGGATCCCCAGGATGGTGTGGCACACGGCACATTCACCTGTCACCAAGCCGCCATGGTATGTTCTTTCTAATTCTACTGCTTTCTGGGCTCTGACTGTCTTTACATTGGCAATTATCATACCTTTGGTAAGACTTAATATCTGTTAGTAAGATTCTCATATCCAGTTCTGTGAAATAAAGACCTAGTTCACACCTTTGGGCAGATAGTGTCAGTATGGTTTAATGGTGCCATTTATATTCATAAAGAATCTTCTGCCCTAAGCCTTCAAAATTTTAAAATATTCTTAAGAAAATAACTTTGGCTGGGCACTAGAGCTCATGCCTGTAATTCTAGCTACTTGGGAAGCTGACATTAAGAGAATTGAGGTTTGAGGCCAGCCCAGGCAAATAGTTTGAGAGACCCCATCTCTAAAATTACCAGAGCAGAATGGACTAGAGGTATGGCCCAAAACAAACACACAAACAACAAAATCCCAGAAAATAGCTCTGTAGGAAGTCTCAGTGTAGTTTAGTCACTTGTATTTATTTAGCAAGGAGCCAGGTATGTGGGTAATTGGCATAATTTTTTTAAAGTCCTATCTTGTGAACCAGGCTCCTGTGGCTCTCACCTATAATCCTAGCTCCTTGGGAGGCTGAGATTGTGAGGATGGTAATTTGAGACCAGCCCAGGATAATAATTCACGAGACCCCCCATCTCCAAAATAACCAGAACAAAATGGACTGGAGGTTCATGCAGGCATGAAGCCCTGAGTTCTAATCCCCCAGTCCTGCACACACACAAAAAGATTATATTTTGTGGACTGCGTCATGTGTATTTATAGCTAGAATTGACTTATTTTTCTTAGGTTGATTTAAAACCATAGGTGAATCCTGTTTAGATATTAAAGTTAGGCTGTCTGAACATGCATAATGAGTTTATTGTCTTTCCATTTTGAAAGTCTGGAGAGGTCAGTATTTTATAAAGTCTGCTCTGAATTCTTAAGTCAGCCGCTTAAAAGTTGCATCTGAGTTACGAGAGAGATGAGGCAAGTATAGTTTTTCTGTTAGAACTTTTTATGTCTTTGAAATGCTTTTGTTTCTGGATTCCTTTGCTTAGCCCAGGTAGAGCTAGCAGAGTGGTTCTGGAATACATGGGCTGAAGAAAATCCCCTGACATTGTATACATAGATTTTACGTGTGTACCCGTGATCATGTTTCTGAGAAGCAGCTTCATTCTCTCATTAGAGTCCCAAAGGAGCTTGTAACCAAGAAAAAGAGAGAGCCTCTCAAAGAAATGCTTAATGTCCGTATTGTCTTTCACCTGTTTAAAAGAAGTTTTCATGCTTCATTTGTTTTGGATTTATTTGTAAGTAACAGTACAGAAAAAGGACCATGATCCTAAAAGTGGACCTAAGATCTTTTTTTAACTCTTTGAGTTAGCTGGTTTAACTTTGTTTTGGAAGGATAATATTACATCTAAGATTAGAAAGTACAAATATGCAAGTATTGTTTTAAGGTACCTGTCTGTTTTGCTAAAGTCCAAGATTGGCTTACTTCCACAGAGAGATTTTGTCTACCTTCTTGCCTGAAAGCATAGAATGTTTGTTTTTTAATCAATATATGCAGGCACTAAGACACTGTTCAAAGAGGGGACATAGCACCTCTCTGAATTACCTGGTTTTTTGTTATTGTTGTTTGTTTTAGTTGGGGTTTGAATTTAAAGCCTCATGCTTGCTAGGCAGGTGCTCTACCACTTGAGGCACTCCACCAGCCCTGTTTTGGGTTCGGATTTTTCAGGATAGGGTCTTGGGAACTATTTGCCCAGGCTGGCTTCTTGAGTAACTAGGATTACAAACATGAGCCACCAGTGCCCAGCTGAATTACCTGTTTTTACAATCTTACTCTCCTTATGCTCAAGAGTTAAATCTTACATGTATACTGTTTGCCATCCTGTCAGTTTGTTTAGGTGGTTATATAGTTTAAGTGTTGAATGTGAGAGATACGTGTATTTTACCTCAGATTTTACTAATGTGATCTTTCTGTAGCAGGTTTCAAGGCTGCAACTCTCCATTGGACTGGTGAGAAGGTTGTTGCCTGTTTACTCTTGGGCTTATTGCCAACTGCTTATTTTAATCCTTGCTCTGCGGTGGACTACTCCCTGGCTGCAGTCCTCTCTCTCCATAGTCACTGGCAAGTATAGCATTCCCTTCAGTATTGCATTGTCTGCTCAGTTTGTTGTGAGTTTGTCTTGTGTAATGCACGTGAGGGAGCATTTGGCTGAGACACTCAGTAAAACTTTCAAACAGCAGTGAAATACCTGTGCACCCAGATTCATATGTCCATCTGTTCACTATTATTTCTTTTTTGGAGGGTTTGGGGGACACAGTATCTTCCCATGTAGCTCAGGCTGGCCTTGAAGTTTCAGTTCTCCCACCTCAGCCTTCAGTGTGCACCGCCATGCGTAATATATATCCATTTGCTTATTTGGTATTCTCATTTCCTTTCCTTTTTGGTGGACTGGGGTTTGAACTCAGGATTTTTCGCTTGCAAAGCAGGTGCCCTATTGCTTGAGCCATGCCTCCAGTCCATTTTGCTCTGGTTATTTTGGAGCTGGGATCTCACTAGCTATTTGCCCAGGCTGGCCTCGAACCTCTATCCTCCTGATCTCAGCCTCCTAAATAGCTAGGATTACAGGTGTGAACTCTCAGTTTCATTTCCATTTCTAGTAGGCATTTTGACTATAACATTTATAAATGTGAATTCCTGATCTGCCAAATCTGTTCCTCCTCTTTTGTTTTGTTTGTTTTTTGGTGGTACTAGGGTTTCAGCTCAGGGCTTTCACACCTGCAAGGCAGACACTACCGCTTGAGCCATGCCTCCAACCCTTGTTCCTCCTGTATTTCACACCCAAACTTGGTCATCATCCCTTCATTACAGTAGTAGTCTCCCATCCAGTGTCTGTTCCTAACCCAGCAGCCCAGGAAACCTCTTAAAATGTTAAGTCACGGTAAGACCCTCCCCTCTCAAAACCCGTCATTGTCTCCTTATCTTACTCAAACTAAAACAATTCTTGCAGTGGTTTAGGACTATGTATGCCTGTACTCCCAGCTATTGGCAGGTAGATCTGAGGTAGGATTGCAAATTGGAGGCCAGCCTGGGCAAGACTTTATCTCTTATAAAAAAATGAAAGTAAGACTGTCGTCAGATACTACACAATCTGTCCCTGTTTTCTCATCTCCAGCTGTTCTCTTTTTAGTCACACTACCTTCCTTGATATTCCTTGGACATACCAGGGAAACTCCATCTTTCAGAGCGCTTCTCTTCCTGTTCTTCTGCCTAAAACTCTCTTTCTAATTACATTCTTGGCTTGTTCCCTCCTCTCTTTCATATCTTGTCACCCTCTCACCGAAGCCTTCCCTAACCATGTACTCAAAATTGCTGTGTCCTTCCTGACATTCCTTATCTTTCTATCCTGTTTGATTTTTCTCAGTAGCATTTACTACCTTCTAATACGCTACATCATCTGTTTATTATTATGTACAGTTTTCATTTCCCACCCCTGCTCCCCATAATGAAAGTAAAGATACAGAAAGTCATGAGAATCAAGTCTTTGACTTCTGAATTACAAGGGTAATACCACCCAAGCCAGAAATAAATGCTGCTACCTATTCCTTCTCTGTGCCCCATTTCAGTCATAATGCTCGGTATCTCCCTTGTCCTCTGGAACCATTGTCCTGATTTTTATAGTAATCACATTCTTGCATTTTTGTCATAGTTTTATACCTCAAGTGTGCATTCCTAGATAATAAAATCCAGTCTTGTCTTTGAAAAAAAATGATGAATGGATTTTTTTATTACCTTTTTTGTTTCCTGTTTTGTCTTCAGTGTTTGGAATACTGCTTGACATATAGCATATAGTAAATATTTGCTAAATGATAAATAGCCAGCTTGTATTTCTTTTATCTTGTACAGTTTGTAAGATTTTCTAAGTTAATGAGCCTTTTAAAAAGAGCGTATAACAGCTTGAGTTCCTCAAGTTGTTCCTTCTACGTTGTTTTGTAAGAACGATGTGAGGTCATTGGGAGGAGGGAAAAGGTGTTTTGAAATTTTAGAACTGGAAGGTCTTGGGGGGCTTTCTTAACCAACACTGTCATTTTGCAAATGTGGAAACTTAAACCTCAGGGAGGTTAATTAACTTATCCGGATAATTTGTTAGCTAATGTTAAAAAAGGGGTTTTAGGACTGGCTAGGAGAATTAACTTTCTTACCAGATAGACCTTCAAAATACAGTATTGTAGTCCCCTAAGAACTATCATACCCCAAGTACAGTTATATATTTCTAATGTGTGTTTCTTAGGAGATCTATCTAAATTAATAGAAAATCAGAGTAAAAGAATAATTCTAAAGATGTCAATTTTTTTTTTAAGAGTTGACGTTTTGACTCCATTTTCTCTTCTACTTGTAGTTCTTTTATCCTTTTACAGAAAAAAAAAAATTACCTGGAAGAGTTGTCTGTAATTGTGCTCTAGTACTTAAGTGTCCAGTCTCTTTTAATCTGTAGTAATTGGGCTTTTATTCCAACTACTTAACGTCAGTTATGCATACCAAAATCACTGAAGACCTTCATCTTTCCAAAGTCAATTGTCTGTTCTCTGTCCTCTGCTTTCTTGAACTTTCAACAACATTCACTTTTCCTTAGCTTTCCAGATTTCATAGATGTGACCTCTGCCAGCTCCTTCTCCTCCTGTCTGACCTCAGAATGCTGAAGTCCCAGGGCTCAATTTCAGTTCTAAGCTCTTTCCTTGAGCTGCAGACTTAGTTATCTAACTGACATATTTACTTGAATATTTCATAGTCATCCCAGATTTAACATTCCCAAATCACTCTTGCATGTCTCTTGCTTTCCCTTTAAAGCTGCCTCCTCAGTTAAATCTAGCTGCTCAGACTAAAAAGTCCTAGGAGTCATTCTTGATATTTCTCTTTGTCTTACCCACATCTGATTCATTAACTTTTTGTTAGTTCTCTCTTTAGAACATAACCTGAATTGTCACTTCACATTATCTTGGCCATAAATTTAGTTTATGCCTAGGCTACTTTAGTTGACTTGTAACTAGTTTTCTTCCTGTTCTCCCTAGTGTCCATTTGCCAGAGTGACAGTTTTTAGAAGTTAAATTACAGAACCAGGCATTGGTGGCTCATGGCTATTATCCTAGCTTCTTGGAAGGCTGAAATCAGGAGAATCACAGTTCAAGACCAGCCAGGGCAAACAGTTTGAGAGATCCCCCCAACTCCAAAAATAACCAATTTTTTTTTTTTGATGGTACTGGGGCTTGAATTCAGGGCCTCACAGTTGCTAGACAGGCGCTCTGCCACTTGAGCCACTCTTCCAACCCTCCAAAAATAACCAGAGGAGGACTGGTAGAGTGACTCAAGTGGTAGAGTGCCTGCCTAGTTAGCACGAGGTCCTGAGTTCAAACCCCAATATCCCCCCATAAAAAAAAGTAGGCTAAAAAAAAATAACCAGAGCTAAATGGGCTGCAGGTGTGGCTCAAGCAACAGACTGCCTGCTTTGCAGGAATGAAGTCCTGAGTTCAAACCTCAAACCTGCCAAAATAAGCAAATAAAATGCATTTCTTCAAAGAAGATACACAGATGTCCAATAAACACGTGAAGAATTGCACACATCATTTGACATTAGAGAAATGCACAGCAAAACCACAATGAGATACCACTTCATACCTACTTAGGATGGGTGTAGTAAAAAAGTAGGCCCTGATGTGTTTGTGAGGATGTGGTGAAGTTGGAACCCTCACGTATTTCTGCCAGGAGTGTAATGTTGCAGCCACTTTGGAAAACACTGGCAGTTAAAAATAACAGCATTTTGTAAGTAGAGGAGCATTCAGTTACTGTCTGATATAAATGACTGGAAATTTGATTCAGAAGTCCAAGATTATCTTTATTACATATTAGGAAGCTTTTTTGGGTGGGGGGGAGCAGTACTGGGGCTTGAACTCAGGGCCTTCACTTTGAGCTACTCCACCAGCTCTTTTTTTGTGATGGGTTTTTTGAGATAAGGTCTCTCGAACTATTTGCCCAGGCTGGCTTTGAACCTTGATCCTTCTGATCTCTGCCTCCTGAGTAGCTAGGATTACAGGCATGAGCCACCGGTACCTGGCTTAGGAAGCTCTTGATTCCTTCATTTTGGCTTACAATTTTTATTACCATGAGTTATTTTGTTGTCTCAAAAAAATGTATAGGAAACTTCATTATAAAATGACTTAGCAGAATCCCCTAAAGAAGCCCACCGTTGCTGGAGTGGTGGAGACATTGCATTTTGAACCTGACTGGTTTTGTTTTTTTTTTTTTTTTTGCAGCCAAGTTACCTGTATGGTCTTCTAACTTCACCTGTGATTTTTCATTTGTGCTATTTTTTTTTTCTTCAGGGGCCTTGGACAAGTTGTTACTGACTATGTTCACGGGGATACGCTGCAGAAAGCTGCCAAGGCGGGCCTTTGGGTGCTCTCAGCTTTAACCTTTGCTGGGCTTTGTTATTTCAACTATCATGATGTGGGCATCACCAGAGCCGTTGCCATGTTGTGGAAGCTCTGACCATTTTGACTTAATACCTTTAGTGATTGTACGCCTCTCTGCCTCTGCTCTGTGTACTGTTCAGCTCCCAATAAAGAGAATATAACAGATATGTCCATTGGTGGATAAACCTCCTAATCACATGATTACTTGGAGAATTTAATTGTTGAGGAATTCTATCCAAGGAATTGTGAAACTGAGTTCTGTATTCGGGTGAGTTAATGGGTAGGACTTACAATATAACTAAACGTTACATATGAGCTTCTTTTTTTTTTTTTTGCCTTTTATCAAACTTAGCTTTATTGCTATCAATACATGATAATAATTTCATATTTGTCCTGGGAATAAAGGACAAAAGGAAAGACTGTTAATTCATGAGTAAAGACTTTGCAGAAAATTGGACAGTGTTTAATTTTTGGAAACATCCCTCTGTTTAGTTAATACCAGGTATTTGCATGTCCTAGGGAAACTTTTAATTCAGGGGTGCTGATATCTCATTACAGATTGTAAATCCTAGGTAAAAAAGCTAGAGAAGTTCTATTTAGGGAAAAGATTTCCCTTGTAGATGTATTAAAGCGTTACAGAGTCCAAACAGACTTTAAACTCAAATGTGGTTTACTTGTCCTAAAATCTGTCCACAAATATAAAACTAGAAGTAATAAAATGTTTTCTCACTATGAGAATTGTTAATGAGAAAATGTATTCTCTGACAAGGAGACTTTTTAAAAATACATAATAAAAAACGTGTTCTGCTCTTCTATGTTTTAGCTGTCCCTAGTGTTTTTGTTTTGTTTGAGATGAGATATCTCAAACTCCTGGGCCTAGGCCATTCTCCTGTCTCAGCCTCCTGAGTAGCTGGGACTGTATAGGTGCACTCTACCATGTCTGGCTGTAGTTTTATTCATTAGAAGTTTTGGGGTTGGGAGAGTGGCTCAAATGGTGAGGCCCTGAGTTCAAACCTCATTACTGCCAAAAAGTTTTGTATCCTCAGCTTTAAAACAGAACGGAGTGTTTAAATTTCCTTCTGGGGTTTAGGAGTTAAGCAAATCAGACACAAAATGGGATGCCTGAGTAGCAGTGGCTCACCATTGGGTAGTGGTGGGGGGACCAGTCCATTCTGACAGGGAGAAGTACTATATTACTTACATGGCTTAGAATTACTGGTACGTGGTGGTGGTAAAAAGCAGATTGATCACTAGTCAGTTTTACTATTGTTTTAAAATTCTCTTTAGGCAATTACCTGCCTTAGTGTTGTTTCTGTTTCCATCTTCAGTCCCCCATATACCAGTGCTACATGATGGAGTGATGGAGTTCCATAAAATTAAAGTGGGGAGTGACTGCATAATATGGGAATCCTATAGGCATTATTAGTATCAGATCCCAGTTTGGACCTAGAAGGTTGTCTAGTGCCAATAGGCATTAAATACTGAGGGAGAATTGTCTGTTCTAGGTGGTTTTTAGGTAATGGGTGGGGTTGAGCTGCCTTTGGGAAGTCAGTAGGGTGCTGTGAGCTGCTGGAACAGCGAAAATGAGGCAACTGCTCAGGGCATTAAGAGTTTTCTAAAGGTAATCAGGACATGATCAAAGTATGCTTTAGAAAGAGTTTGGGTGACATTAAGGAGGACATTTAGGAGAGCTGGTATGCTAAAGGTAAGACACACAGGAGGACAGAGAAGAAAGGGCCTGAACTTCAACAGTGGTTGGAAAGGTATTAATAGAAGTCAAGTGTCCATTCATCTCACAGACACTACACACCTCTTTGAATTGGTACTGTGAATAAAGAGGGAATTCTTAGCTTAATTGGGGGAACAGATAATAGTGGCCACGGTATGAAAAGTGAAGTAATAAACACTTAGTGCAGTGATACAAGAAAGGGTGCAGCAAAAATACGCCTAAAGTTTCCTGGAAGACAAGATTTTGGATCCAGACTCTTAAGTGATAAGGCTCCGACAGTGGCCAAGGGAGGAAGGTTGACGTGTGAAGAGGACTGAGGGATGGTAGGTCAAACAGTGTTGCACAGAATTTGGTATGACTGCAGTACAGTGAGAATAGCATGCCAAAGAGCTTACATACCTTGATGGTTATAAGAAGTCACTGAAATCTGTTAATTCTGCACATGGCATGATTGGATTTTTATTTTATTTTTAGTGGCACTGGGGTTTGAACCCAGGGCCTTAGGCTGCTAGGCAGACACTCTACCACTTGGGTCATGTCCCTAGCTTCAGATTTTTATTTTAAATAAGTTATGTTGGCAGCTGTGTGAAGTATGAAGGTAAATGTGAAAATGGAAATTATTCCAATAGTTTAGAAAATAAATAAGTTCAAAAGGCACTATCAGCCAGAATGAAGAGAACAAACTCAAAAAGATAGTAGTAAAGGTTATACTGGAAAGGCTGGGTGCCAGTGTCTGACGCCTGTAATTCTAGCTACTAGGTAGAGATCAGGATCAAGGTTCAGAACTAGCTAAGGAAAATAGCTCTCGAGACCCTATCTCAAAAAAACCTATCACAAAAAAGGGCTGGTGGACTGGCTAAAGGTGTAGGCCCTGAGTTCAAACACCAGTACCACACACACACAAAGATTGGGTAAGGAAGGAATCTATGCTCAATTTTTTGACAATAGGTGGGTAGGAATTGTGTCAAAAAAATTTGAAGGAAAATTAGGTACAGTAGTGGGGGTGATAGGTACCTAATGAAGTTCTACATTTATGAGACAACCAGAGAGAATTGTAGGCTTCCTGGATGATTTTGAATTGTAGAATGTTCTTGGCAATACAGCAGATGATTTTGGAAAATATTTTGAATCTGGGGGCAGGGTGTTGGGGAGGTGGTCTGGGCTGGGGCTGGTGGGGAGGGCAGGAAGGGGGGATCCGGTGGGCTCAGGGAACTACGGGGACTTCCTGGAGTCCGAGCTCAAAACCCCTAGCAGCCAAGAGGAGGAGAAAGAGCCAGGGCTAGTTGAAAGTGACCCAGGATGTAGTGCCATTGAGGACCTGAGCTGGAAGTAATCAAAGCTTGAGTCAGGGAGTTGGAGGAAGAAGCTGAGAAGCTAAAGGAGTTACAGAAGGAGGTAGAGAAGCAGATGAATCTGAGTCCACCTCCAGGCAATGCAGGCACAGTGACCATGCCCACGAGGAGAAGATGGAGGCTGATGTCCATTCCATCGGTGTTGGCAATGTGGATTACCGTGAGCTGGAAGCTCATGTTCATGGCTATAGTTCAGTCAGCTGTGTTACCATGCTCTGTGACAAATTTAGTGGCCATCCCAAAGGGTTTGGTTTGCATTTATAGAGTTCTCAGGCAAAGAGTCAATGAGGGATTCTCTGGCTTTAGATGAGTCCCTTTTTAGAGAAAGTCAAATTAAGGTGATCCCCAAACGATCCAACAGACCAGGATCAGCACAACACACTGGGATTTCCCACGTACCCACTACCGTGCCCCGACTACCAACTACAACAGTTCCCTGTCTCTATTCTACAGTCTCAGAGTCGTCTGCAAGGGCTGGGCTAGAGTGAGATCGTGGTATTCTCCTTAGTTAAAAAAAATGTATTAGGAGGAGAGAGAGGAAAAAAGGAAAGAAAAAAAAAATGCTTGATATGAAGCCTGTAGGAATGTTAACAAGAACGCCTTTAAAGACATTTCTGAGCTTGTGACAGGAAGCCCTCTGAAGCCAGTACAAAATGAGCATGCACATAGGGAGGCCAGCAGGTGTTGAGAGTGTTGGTTGTCCTGGGAGCATCAACTCACCCAGGTGGCCTAGAAAGTGACACAGGGACAAGAGCAAATCTTTGGGTTCAGATAAGGGAGTTAAGAGTGGAGTCTCCCCCAAATCAGGAAACTACAAAAAGTCTTAGCCTCAGAGAATGGGTGAAAAAAAATTTAAAAAAAATTATTTTTATTGTAGGCGAAGGGCTTTCATTTATTTTTTGGTGGCACTGAGGTTTGAATTCAGGGCTTTGCACTTGCAAAGCAGACACTCTGCCACTTGAGCCACACCTCAAGGCCATTTTGCTCTGGTTATTTTGGTGATGGATATGGAGTCTCACAAACTATTTGTCCCTACCAGCCTTTGAACCACAATTCTCCTGATCTCAGCCCCCCCATGTAGCTAGGATTACAGGTGTGAGCCACCAGCGCCCAGCTAGAAAAAATAATTTTACCTGAAAAAGCAGATAGCAGAGAAACTTACTGATTCACCTTGGTTCTGGTTGGAAGAAAGGAAGTCTCCAAGAACATGTGGCTAAAGTCCTGTCCTATATTACCTGCATGTCTAAGCAGACTTCACTCTGTTCATTTAATAGTTACCTGGCTGGTAGGACCCAGATGTCTGGGAGAAATAAATATAAACTCTCACTGAAGGAAGGTTTCCCCAATTCAAGCCTCAAAAATCCTCACGAAGTTCCAATGAATGTGAGCTCCCAGCACAAAAAAAAAAAAAAAAAAAGATCATATTTCCGTATTTCTTACAGGAACACAATGAACGAGTCAACCCAGGTAACAAACAAAACCGTATCTGCAAAGAGTTCAGATCTTGGACTTTTCAGACCAAATATAAACAACATGAGATGTAATTCTAAATATACGTCAGTTGTCTAATCAGATATCAGAAAGTAAGAAGACATTTTCTTTGCCATCTTGAGAATTAAGTGTTTACTGTGAAAAGTTGTGTTTTTCTCTGGTGACCTTCTGATGAGTTGTCAAGGTCAGTTCTCAATGGGACTGGATATCCAAGTCCTAGGATTCCAAACACCTTTACACCGCTCCATGATTATGAGTCTGGAATTGTATTTCTCATTGACACACCCAAACAGTTATTTCTAGCGTGGCTCTAAGTCTGACTTTTATTTTCTTCTAGTCTCCAGTTTTATTGTTATTATTTTTTATCATAGTGGTGGTGGGAGGCCCAATACATCTTATGCTATCTCTTTCAGAAATATAATTTGTGTGTTTTAGGCATAAAACTGTACATGCAATTTTTGCTTGGTTTCATTTTTGAGACAGAGGCTTGCTAAGTAACTCAAACTAGCCTTATAATTCTTGATCCTCCAGCCTCAACCTCTCCAGAGTGCTAGGATTACAGGCGTGCACCACCACACCCAGCCTGAGATTCATGTTTTTAAAAATATATAACAAGGTCGCAGCACATCAAGGACGGAATCTGCTGAGTCCAAGTCCAGCCATTGGAATCTCACTTTGCTTATTTGTAAAATAAGTAATGATTGATGGGTAAAAGTTTTGTTACTGTCATAAAACCCGATGCTTTCCTGACAGAAATCTCTAAATGTG